AGGCAAACGCCCTACCCGCTGTGCTATCACTCCAGCCCCCGACACTTGGACATTTAAAGGACCCGTTCATTTCCGCCCACTTTCAAGGCGTCGCCGGCAGCCGATCATTTTCCCCTGATCTCCCAGCGCGTGGCGGAGCGACTTTTCCCGCTTCGCCGCCGCTGAGTGGCTCCGGCGCACATAAGCGCGGACCAATGAGCGAGCACGACGCCGGCGCGGGCCCCGCCCCTGCCCACGCTGTTGCTGCCTCCCGGCGGCAGGTTGGTCCGCGCGCGGAAGGCCCGCGCTCGCCAGTGCGCCTGCGCGCGCCGCCGCCGCCGCCGTCCCGAGCGCGCCGCTTTTTCCCGCGACCTCTGGGCGCGCCTGACGTGCCGCGCGGACGCTGCGATCCCCCGCCCCCCCACCTCGCGCGTCGCGCGGCTGAGGGGCTTCGGGTGGGCGGCTGCGGGCCGCGTTATCTGCTGCTTCCCGCCTCCTCGTGCCCCGGAGAACCGCGGCCTCCGCTGCCGGTGAGTCTCGGCCGACCGGCGGGCCCGAGCCCCGGACGTTGAAGTGGCGGCGCCTTCCCACACTGAGGGGGCTCGACGGGCGCCGAGGCCGGCCGGCCGGTCTGAGGGGGGTTGCCCGGGGATGCCGGAGAGGCTGTGGGATGTTTTGTGTGTGTGTGTGGTGGTGGGGACGCTCGGGGGTCGGCTGAGGGGGCGGCTTCCCGACGCCGCTGGCAACGGGCCGGTCCTTGGACCTGCCGGGGCCGGGGGGGGGGGGCGCCTCCTGCCGGGCGACCGGTGGCCTTGTGGTCGCCGCGTGGGCCCCTCGGGACGGCGGGTGGGCCCTCGGCGCGCCGGGGGGTCGCTCGGTGGGGGGGGCAGCCGCGTGAAGCGTGCTCGCGGGCGCCGCCTCCCTCAGGCCGGGCCGCCCCCCTCCGACCCCGCCCCCCACGTCGCCGCAGCCCTAGGGTGTCCGCGAGCCTCTCGGAGGTGCCGCTCCCGGCTGCCTGCGTTCCAGCTGCCTACTTTCTGCTTTGGCGGGACGGGGGTGGGGTGTTGCGGGGTGGACTCTAGAGGGTCGGTAGTCCGGCTGGGAGGGCGCTTGCCCTGCACGGGTTCGATCCCTGGCATCCCATAGGGTCCCCCGAGCCTTGCCAGAAAGGTGATCCCTGAATGCAGAGCCACCAGGAGCAATAATACACCCAGAACCTCGCCCGGTGACACCTAGAACAACCCCTCACCCCCAAAGAAAAAAAAAAGCCTGGGTAAGCACTTGTGTCTTCCTCTTCCCCCACCCCCCCAGACCCGTGCAGGAGAACAGCGGGAGGAAATGGGGGGTGGGGGTGGAGGGACTGGACGGGTTTCTAAACCCAGATGAGAAGTTGATCCTAGTTGGTGCATAGCAGGTAGGGCGTTTGCCTTGCACCCGGCCTACCCGGGTTCGATCCCCAGCATCCCATAGGGTCTTCCAAGCACCACTTACAGGAGTAATTCCTGACTGCAGAGCCAGGAGTAACCCCTGAGCATTGCTGGGTGTGACCCAGAAAAAAAAAAAAAAGAACCGTCGAAGTGGAGGCTGGTGCAGGGAAACCAAGTGGGCCGAGTTGGTTTTGTGGGGGCCACACACCCGGCGGTTCGGAGCCCTATGGGGTGCCTGGGATTGAACCCGGTTGGTGCCCTCCTCGTTGGGCTGTATATCCACTCCGAGGACTGGATTTGGACTCTTAAGCACCCTGCTCTCCAGGTTCTCCTTGCTGGGCACTTGGAATTTGAGATCTAGAAGCGCCTGGGGGGAGGGTGGGAAAGAGAAAGTTTTCTGCTTTGATGTTTTTTTGCCCCCTCAAGGATGCCGTGCTTGTCACTGATCCTGCAGGCGCCAGTTGGGGGAATTCAGACATACACTGAGAGTCCAAGTCCGTACTGACTTACAGAAATAAACAAATAAATATATAGTAGCACTGTCCTCCAGTTGTTCGTTGATTTGCTCGAGTGGGTACCAGTAACATCTCACAACAAATTGTGAGACTTGTTTTTCCTGTTTTTGGCATATCGAATACATCATGGGGAGCTTGCCAGGCTTTGCCGTAGCTTGGTGGGCTCTCGGAGAGGGGCGGAGGAATCACACCCCAGTCGGCCATGTGCAAGGCAACCGCCCCAACCGCTGTGCTATTGCTCCAGCCCATATATATATATATGCACACGTGACCATTAATTTTGCTATACACAGTGGTGCTCCGGGCTTAGTCCTGGCTCTGTGCTCAGGGAATCACTCCTGCCGGACTGGGGGTACCCTATGGGGTGCCCGGGATGGAACCTTGGTCAGCTGCTTGCGAGGCAAATTCCTTACCACCTATACCCTCTCTCTGGGCCCAATTACTGACATTTTGGAATCGCTTTCTCTAGAGGCAAAATAGTGATCGAAAGAGTGTCTTCAAATTACAGTGAACAGTGGGTAGATGGTCTTCAGACAACCTAGAAAATGGCTTCTATTGGGAAATACCTGGGCTAGAGTAACAGTCCAGCAGTATAGAGGGTAGGGTGATGGCCTTGCATGAAACTGACCAGAGTTAGTCCTAAGCACTCCATAAGGTCTCCTGAGCACAGCCATTAGTGATCCCTGAGAGCAGCCAGGAGTAACTGCTGGGCATGGTTAGGTGTTCCCCCCCCCCCCAAGAAAAAAACAACCTCGAACATAACATGTGTTATAGAGAGAGATGGGCAGTCAGACACACTGAGGCTGATTACAAAGTGGGAATAACTCCTGGTGTGTGCTTGTGAGAACTCCTCAGGTGTGTATGCATGCTTGTGGGTGTGTGCGCCTTTCCATAATCTGGCAGTAACTAAACTCTCTACCGGTCTGGTGAGGAGCTCGGTCCCACACTTCTTGATTAAGGAGTAAAAAGCCAGTCATTCAGAAAGGCTCTGTTGCTCAGGTTCTTCGTGCCCCCAAGCTTTCCAAGCAGTTTTGACAGTTTGGTAGGTAGCATGTCACGATTTGAAATTAGTTTGGCAGTGATTGTTCTTCAGCTCAAGATGAAGGATGTACTGAAAGAAAATGCAGAGTAAGATCTCAACTTGGAGATTTTCCAGGACATTGCCAAGAATGCTACCTGTGAAGTAAATGTCATTGTAATAATGTTAGATATTATGACGGTATTATTAAAATATTATTACAGATCTTATTATAGGGGAGGGTCATCTTTTGTGCTTATGCTATTCTTTCAGAGACATTTTCTTTGCAGCTGGCATGATTAAGAAGAGACTTGTCAGCATTGAGCTTTTCCTGTTTGGAAAACAATTTGTGGTAATTAATTCCACAGCTTCAGTTCCAGTAATTGATGACAAGCCATTATTTTAGTGACCTCTCCATTTTGCTGGGTCCCAACTGAAATAAGACATTGACCTCTGCATGCTGGCTTAGCTCTTTGGAAGGGATGACAAATGACTTGTTTCTTTTGAGACTCTGAAGTAGGGGTCAGGTGGCTTTGGGACCCCCCAACAGTGATTGTCAGCTAGTGTTTGCTGCAGTTCAACACAGGAGGCTGAGGATGTGATGCTGTTCGGGCTCTGTGGTGCTGGGTAATACACAGGCTATGCTGCTGGAACTGGGGTCCTCCAGGGCCAAACCTGGCAATACTGGCGGGGCAGGCATGTGATGTGAGGCATTGAACCTGAGTTAGGTGCATGCTAGGCATGCACCCTGATTGCTGTACTATCTCTTTAACCTAGATTACTGCCTTGCTTGGCTTTTAGAATGACCGATGGAAGCCTAGTTAGATCTCAGGAAACTCTGTCATTTTGGAATTTGTACCTGTGAACTGTCTCTACTTGATGCTGATTTTACTGAACCCTTACTTGCTATGGTTCTTTGGAAGTCTGTACATGGTTCTGTTTTAGGTAGAAGGGTTTATGTTGTTTATGTTTTTTCCCCCTTTATTAGGCGGGCCCACACTTGGTGAGGCTCAGGGGTTACTCCTGGTTCTGCACTCAGAATTACTCCTGGTGGTGCTTGGGTAACCACTGTATGGGAAGCCGGGGATTGAACCTGGGCAGTCGTATGCAAGGCAAGCGTCCTACCCACTGTATTATCTCTCTGGCCCCTGCTTTTTTTTTTTTTTAAGGCATTTAAGGGCTGTAGCGATAGCACAGCGGTAGGGTGTTTGCCTTGCACGCAGCCAACATGGCCGACCCGAGTTCGATTCCTCTGCCCCTCTTGGAGAGCCCGGCAAGCTACCGAGAGTATCTCACCCGCATGGCAGAGCCTGGCAAGCTCCCCGTGATGTATTTGATATGCCAGACACAGTAACAACAAAGTCTCCAATGGAGACGTTACTGGGCCCACTCGAGCAAATCGATGATCAACGGGAGGGCCTTTACTTTTTTACTTAAGGCATTGTAACTTACATAGTCTTTTCTTTGTTGAGAGGAGCACCTGGTGGTGACCAGGGCTGACTCCTGGGCTTTATGCTCAAGGGATCACTCCTGACGTGGCTCAGAGGACTCTATATGGTGCCAGGGATTGAACCTGTGTCAGCTGCATTCAAGGAAAGTGCCCTACACACTGTACTATCACTCTGCCCCCCCCCCCCCTTTTTTTAAACACTGCTGGCAATGCTCAGGGGCTACTCTGGGCTCTGTTGTGGGAAGGTATGGGGGTCTCTCCCAGCTGTTCTCAGGGAACTGACTATGTGAAGTCAGGAATGATACTCTGACCTGCACACGCAAAGCATCTGCTCCAACCCATTGGGCTATATATCCGACCCTTAATGACCTGGCATACGTTCGGAGGTGTAGGTATCCTGGCTGTCTGTATTCAGGGCTAACTCCTAGAAGTACTTAGGGGACCCTGTGTCAAACTAGGGTTGGCTGCATCCAAGGCAAGCTCCTTAACCCCTGTCCCATCTCTCTGGCTCCCTAATAGAAGTTGTTTTCTTGTATATTTCCAAACAGATAGTATCCTGAAAACTTAATTTTTTTATTTGCGTAAATTGTTTCTTACCTTTCAGTCAAAAGGATGCCACGGCGAAAGAAGAAAGTTAAAGATCCCTCCGAGCCTCACAGTGTGGAGAAGACAGAGGCGGAAAACAGCAGCTCCGGCTCTGTGAAGAGAAAGCGCAGAGTTGAGGATACATTCATTGTCATCTCTGATAGTGAGGGGGAGGTCAGTGTTCAGTTTTGTTTTTTTTGGGGTGGGGGAAAGGTGGCGTGGGTACCCCTGAAGGTGCTCAGGAGTGACCTCTGGTGGTGCTCTGGGGACCAACAGGTTGGTTGAAGAGACTGCTTGTAAGAAAAGCCCTCTAAGCTCCTGTTGTACTTTCTGGCTGGAGGTCAGATAAATACTATTCTGAAGAGTGCTAGATTTCTAACTCAGCCTCCTAACCGCCACTGTTTTGTAACAACCTAATCCAGCTGGCTGAACTGTTGTTTATTTGTATAATTTTGGCTTTGGGGCCACACCCAGTGGTGCTCAGGGCTTCCTCTTGGCTCTGTGCTCTGGGATCCCCCTTAGCAGGGCCCAGGGAACCCTGTGCAGTTCCTGGAATCACACCCAAGTTTGCTCAGTGCAAGGCAAGTGCCTTACCTGCTATACTGTTATCTCTCCAGCCTAGGACTCCCAATTTTTATTTTATTTATTTATTTTTAATTTTTTAATTAGTGAAACACCATGAGGTACAGTTGTAGACTTACAGATTTTTGTGCTTGGGTTTCAGTTACACAATGATCAAGTACCCATTCTTCCACCAGTGCCCTATTTTATTTATTTATTTATTTATTTGCTTTTTGGGTCACACCTGGCGATGCACAGGGGTTACTCCTGACTCTACACTCAGGAGTTACTTCTGGTGGTACTCAGGGGACCCTATGGTATGCTGGGAATCAAACCCGGGTCGGCTGCGTGCAAGGCAAACACCCTACCTGCTGTGCTCTCTCTCCAGCCCCGGACTCCCAATTTTTAATCAGCCTTATTTTGGCGGTTTTTTTTTTTTTTTTTTTTTTGGCGTTTTGGGTTACACCTGGCGATGCTCAGGAGTTACTCCTGGCTCTGCATTCAGGAATCACTCCTGCCGGTTCTCAGGGAACCATATGGGATGCTGGGGATCGAACCCGGGTCAGCTGTGTGCAAGGCAAACACCCTTCCTGCTGTACTATCACTCCGGCCCCAATCAGTCTTATTTTGGTATGTAAATAAATTTTTTTTTTTGGTGGCTTTTTGGGTCACACCCAGGATGCTCAGGGGTTACTCCTGGCTTCACATTCAGGGTTACTCCTGGTGGTGCTCAGGGGGCCATATGGAATACTGGCGATTGAACCCGGGTTGGCTACATGCAAGGCAAATACTCTACCCACTGTGTTACTGATCTGGCCGTGTAAGGAGACGTAAGAGTGTCATAAAGGGGCCTGACAGGGCAAGGAATAAAACTTTGAGGTAGAGCTCTTGCCTCTGTGAGGGATTTAATCCCTTTCACAGATTAAAAAAAAAAAAGAAAGAAATTGGGGGCCATATTTATAGTACAGTGGGTAGGGTACTTTTCCTTGTATACTGCTGACCCAGGTTCTATCCCTGGTGCACCATAAAGTCCCTCAAGCCCCTGAGCACTGCTTGGAGGGCCTCAAGACCAAAACCAAACAGATTGTAGGAGGTTCTGTGTTTAAACTTAGGGATAGACGGTCCAGGAGGTAAAGCACTTACCTTGCATCCTGCCTTACCTTACCTTGATTCCTGGCATGCCAGAACATCACAAGAGGTGAGCTTACGGGTGTGGTTCCAAGCTGCTCTCCCCACCAAATGTAATTGGCACGGAACATATGAGCCTTACCTGCTGTGCTATCTCTTCGTCCACCTCAAAATTGGTTTTATTTCTTCTTTGTAACCAGTTATAGAAATTTTTTTCTTTTATATAATCAACTCCATGTAGAACTTCTCAATTTCTCTTTCATCATAATGAGATGTTGGTGTGTAGACAACGAAGATAGAAACTGCCGGCAGTGAGCCACATCTATTCAAATGTAAACGTCTGATTCGGGTTGTTAGGCATTCGAATGAATCAATGCTCATGGCCAAGTTTGTGTTGACAAGGACACTGACGCCTCCGACACCTCTTTTATCGCATTTTCCCAGGAACAATTCTTCTCCAGTGTCAAAAACGGCATGGTGAGATTCGTGCCTTCTTGGGTCAGACCAATGATGTCGTACTTGATCATTCACGCTTGTACCATCAGGTCCTCGATGGATGCATCTGATGCTAGCGTACATGCATTGAAAGTACAGATGATCATTTTTGTCTTCCTTCTTTGTGGCAGCCTAGTTTGGCCTTGAGATTTTATTGGCCTCTCCTTTCTCATCCTTCTCAGTGCTGCCATGTCGGTGAAGCCTTCAGGGTCAGGTGAATGAGACCCATTGTAATTACTGGTTTTGGCATATCGAATATACAACGGACAGCTTGCCAGGCTCTGCTGTGCAGGCGGAATACTCTTGGTAGCTTGTCAGTCTTTCCGAGAGGGATAGAGGCTTTTGGGGCGACCTCTAATCGCCCTCGTAGGTGTTACCATATTTGAACCCTATCAAATATGGTATGGCAATTCTGGAAGATGGGTATTTAGTGTCTTATGATGTGTCGCGCGGGTCCGGAAAGCGTCCTGGAGTCGTGGCGGCGACTGGGTAGTGGAGGTAGTGTCGGAAGAAGACCACACCTTCTACAAGATCATTGTGGGTGATTTTAATGCCAAGATAGGACCGAGAAAATCAGCTGAAGAACTTCACATCGGGACCCATGGCCTAGAATGGAACGAACAGGGTGAGAGACTGTCTGAGTTCATCATGTCGACCAAGACCATCCATAGTAGCTCACAGTTCCAGAAGGCAGAATCTAAACGTTGGACATGGGAGTCTCCCGGTGGACGATTCCACAACGAAATAGACCACATCATATTCAGTCGACAGTTTGCCTGACTGATGTCGCTGTTGTCCCAAAATTCCGAACGGGATCGGACCACTGTCTCCTTCGTGCAAAATTCTACTTCACAGAGCGGGGAGAAAGGGCTGCAAAGTTTAAAAAGAGAACTCCCAGAACGACCACCAACTGGGAGCTCTTTGGCACTATGCGGCAACATTGGAAGATGCCATTGTTGACAACATTGACGAGGAATACGATTGACTGGTTCAGCACCTCCATGATTGTGCGAGGAATGCCAAGAGAGATAGCCACAAAAAAACACCTGTCTTCGAAAACTCTTGAGCTTATTCGCCAGTGTGGTTTGGCGCATGCCTCAGGCAACCGCAAGCTAACGTCCGAGCTTGCAAAGCAGTGCAGAGATGCGATCAAGGAAGACCTCAAAGAGAGAAGAGCAGAAGTGCTGGTAGATGCGGCAGAAGCCGGGAAAAGTATTCGTAACGCCCGCCTGTCCTTCGCCAACTATAAGACCAAGATGACTGCCCTCCGACGTCCTGATGGATCTATCACATCCTCCAGAATGGCAATGGAGAAGATTATCCATGACTTCTACTCAAATCTCTTTGATAGCCATGTCCACTTGCCGACATACCAAATTCCACAGGATGGATATGTTGTTCCCAACGTTCTCCCATCCGAAATCCGACACGCCATTTCGTCGGTAAAGAAACGAACAGCACCCGGCCCAGACAAGGTCAGACCTGAACACCTGAAGAACCTGCCGTCAGTACTCATCAATACACTGGCTCGGCTCTTCACATGCTACCTGTCTGAATGCAAGGTGCCGTCCCAATGGAAAACCAGCAGGACCGTACTACTGTTCAAGAAGGGAGACATCCATGACATTGGCAACTATCGCCCGATCTGCCTATTGTCTGTCATCTACAAGTTGTTCACTCGAGTCATCCTAAATAGGATTGGCAGAACACTAGATGAAGGACAACCATGCGAGCAAGCCGGGTTCCGCAAAGGATTCAGCACCATCGACCATATCCACACAATAACCAAGCTTATTGAGGTTTCTAGGGAGTTCAAGATGCCGCTCTGTCTAACGTTCATTGTTTTAAAGAAGGCCTTTGATTCTGTAAAGAGACAGAAGCGGTTACTGAAGCCCTAGCCAATCAGGGCATTCAAGTCCAATACATCAAGATCCTCCGTGAGCTGTATTGCGGATTCACTACCAGGATCTCACCATTCTACAAAGAAGTAATCATTGATGTCAAAAGAGGGGTTCAGCAGGGTGATACCATTTCACCGAAACTCTTCAGTGCCACCCTCGAGAACATCATGCTACGACTGGAATGGGAAGGAATGGGAGTGAAGATAGATGGTCGGCAACTACACCACCTCCGCTTTGCTGATGACATTGTTTTAATAACACCAAACATCAGCCAAGCGGCACAAATGCTGGCCGACTTTGACCGTGAGTGTGGAAAGTTTGGACTACAGCTGAATCTTACGAAGACAATGTTTATGAGAAACAGCCTCGTTCCTGATGCCCCATTTGCTCTCAACGGAACGACCATCTCCGAATGCAACAGCTATGTGTACCTAGGTCGAGAAGTCAACATGACAAATGACCTGGCACCCGAGCTGCGCAGGAGGAAGAGAGCGGCTTGGAATGCCTTCAAGAGCGTCGAAATAGCTAAGAGGATGAAGAACCTCCGGCTCCGGGCACATCTCTTTGCTTCCACTGTTCTTCCTGCATTAACATATGCCTCAGAGACCTGGGCCCTATGCAAACAGGATGAGAACGCTATTCAGGTCTCCCAAAGAAGAATTGAAAGAGCTATGCTTGGAATATCATGTTTCACTCAAATGAGAGAAAGAATCCGGAGTTCCGACATCTGTTGACGATCAAAAATCAGGGATGCTGCCTCGTTTGCCAAGGTGTCAAAAATCAGATGGGCTGGTCACGTAATGAGATTTAAAGACGACGCTGGACTAGAGCTATTACCGACTGGATTCCACGGGATGTCAAAAGACCGTGTGGCCGCCCACCTACCAGATGGTCAGACTTCTTCATCCAGATCATGAACGATTGGTTTGAGGCTCTTCATGTTCCTAGAGCGAACAGATGCCATTGGACTACACTAGCACGCGACAGGGACAAATGGAGACGTTACTGGCGTCCGCTCGAGCAAATCAATGACTAAGGGGAAGTTAAGTGATTAAGTGATAATCAACAGTTCAATTACAGTGTTAGGAAAGAAATGAAGTTCCAATCCACGAATTTCCTACGGGTTGACTTTTTTTGAGCAGTGGTGCACATCCAGCAATGCTCAGGGGTTACTCCTGACTCTGCACTCAGGAATTACTCCTAGCAGGGCTTGGGGAACTATATGGGATGCCGGGGATTGAACCTGGGTTGCCCTGTGCAAGGCAAGAGCCCCACCAACAGCACGGTCTCACTAACCCCAAGGGTTGGCTTTTTAATTTTTCCTTTTTGGTTTTTGTGCATCACCCGGCTATGCTCAGGGTTTACTCCTGGCACTGCACCCGGGTTTCACTGCTGGTGGGCTCGGGGACCTTATGGGGTGCTGGGGATCGAACCGTGTTTGCTACATGCATGGAGAGTGCCTTAGCTGCTCTCTTATCTCTTTGGCCCTCTGACCTAATTTTAGGCATTTTCATGTGTATGAGTTGCATTGGTTCCATATCTTACGTATTTTTCTTTTAGTGCCATGAAGATTTGTTTTTTTTCCTTGTTTCCTGGGAACATTTCTAGTAGCACTCGCTGTTGGTCCAGAGTTCGCCCTCTGTTGTAGAGGAGGTGAAAAGAGCACTCATTAATGGCAGTCGCGCTGATCATACTTCTTGTTTTACAACAGGAACCAAAGGAAGAGAATGGATTGCAGAATACAAAAACGAAACAGCCCAACAGAGCCAAGGGTTTGGCTAAGAGAAAAATCGCACGTATGTTTCCATTTTCATGCTGAGAATGGTTTTAAAAATGCAGTGATTAAGTACACCTGTCTCTATAGAAACACTTGGCTGAAGCATGTTTCATAAAACAGTGGTCATAATATTATATGTAATCCATTCTGGTTTCTATTTTAGTTGGAGTGTGTGGAGGGTGGATATGGGGACCTCCTGTGCAGTGCTCAAGAGATCTGGGGACCCTCACTGTACTTTGGTGTGAGGATGTAGTGCCTCTTGGTCCCTGTGGGGTTGGGAGTTACCTGCACCATACTTGGTGATACGCTGAGGATCATGCAGTGCTGGGGAGTGAGCCCAGTACCACTGCATGCAAGTTGTGTGTCTTACCCCCAGCACTTATCGCACCAGCCCTTCTAGTTTATTATTTATGCATTTCTTATTTATTTATTTATTTATTGAATTGCCATGAGATACACAGTTACAAAGTTGTCTATGATTGGGTTTCAGACATAACAATGTTCCATCACGGGTCCCTTCACCAGTGTACATTTCCCACCACTAGTGACCCCAGTTTCCTTCCTGTCCTTCCTCCCCCAGCCTGCCAGGAGGGAGGGAGGGAGTCCGGGAAGGAAGGAGGGAAGGAGGGAGGGAATCCTAGACCAGAGCAATAATAATTTTCTCTCCCTCTCTCTCATCTCCTCTTTCCTCCCCCTCTCCTCCTCCTCCCTCCCTCCCTCCCTCCCTCCCCTTTTGGGCATTATGGTTTATTTATGCATTTCTTAATTGGGGTTTTGGGGCCACACCAAGCAGTGCTTAGGGACTATTCCTACTTCAGGGCTTGGGGGTGGGGGGAGGCATATGGTGCTAGGCATTACTGTCGCACCAGTCCCCTTTAGTTCCTTATTTATGCCTTTATTAATTGGAGTTTGGGGGGCCACACCAAGCTGTACTCAGGGGCCGTTCCTGACTGTATGCTCAGGAGCGATCCCTAGTAGTGCCTGTGGGTACCCTCTGTGGTGCTGGGACTGGAACTGAGGGAGGGACTGGCCATGTGCAAGGAAGCAAGTGCCATCGACCCTATCTCACCAGCTCCATGATAAGGTCTTTTTTTTTTTTTTTTTTTTTGGTGGTGGTGGTAGTGGGGAGAAACATAGGTTACTTTGGCCATAGCCAGTGGTGCTTAGGACTTATCCTGGCTGTGTACTCGAGAGTCACTCTGAGCAGAATCGGGGGACCCTAACGGGTGCTGGGATCAAATCCTGGTCAGCTGCATGCAAAACTAGCACTTTGCCTGCTCTACTAGCACTACAGCCCCAGCTTACCAATTTTTTTGTGGGGGAGGGGGCGGGATTTGGGCCACACCTGACAATGCTCAGGGCTTACTCTTGGCTTTGAACTCAGGAATTACTCCTGGTGATGCTCCGAGGACCTCAGTTTACAAAGCAAACGTTCTATCTGTTGTATTGTCATTCTGGACCAGCTTATCAATTTTATTGCTAATTTTCAGGGAACCAGCCTTTGGTTTGTTTTATTTTCTTCATTGATTTCTTATTTTTAAGTGCATTGATTTTGGCTGTCACTCTTATTATTTTCTTCTGCTTACTTTAGATTTAATTTGCTGTTCTTTTTTTGTTTCCTAAGGTGGAAACTTAGGTGATGAAATGGACATCTGTCTTCTTTTCTAACATAAGTGCTTAATGTTACAAATGTCTAAGTAATGCTTTTACCACAGCCCACAAATTTTGTAAAGCGGCATTTTCATTTTCCTTTAGTGTGTGTGTATATATATATATTTTTTTTTTCTCTTTCATTTTTGGTTTTTGGGCCACACCAGCAATCCTCAGGGTTTACTTCTGGCTCTGCATGCACCGGTGTATCATGTAGGATGCCAAGGATTGAATCCAGGACTGCTGAGTGCAACAGAAGTGCCTTACCTGCTGTGGTATTGTTCGGGCTCCAGTATATATCTATTGAGTGTTTTTTTTTTCTTTGAACTACATGTTATTGTACTGTACTGTACTGGCTGGAGCGATAGCACAGCAGGTAGGGTGTCTGCCTTGCACGCAGCCAACATGGCTGACCCGAGTTCGATTCCTCCTCCCCTCTTGGAGAGCCCGGCAAGCTACCGAGAGTATTCGATATGCCAGACACAGTAACAACAAAGTCTCCAATGGAGACATTACTGGGCCCGCTCGAGCAAATCGATGATCAACGGGAGGGCCTTTATTTTTACTGTACTTAGTCTCCATGTATTTGAGATTTCTTTTTTTTTTTTTTTTTTTTGCTTTTTTTTTTCTGTTGTTTGGGTCACATCCAGCAATACTCAGGGATTACTCCTGGCTCTGCACTCAGAAACTACTTGTGACAGTGCTCAGTGGGACCATATGGGATGCTGGGGATTGAACCTGGGTCAACTGCATGCAAGGCAAATCCCCTACCTGCCGTAGTATTGCTCTGACCCCATTTCCTTCCTTCCTTCCTTTCCTCCCTCCCTCCTTCCTTTTATTCCCTCCCTCCCGTCCTTCTCTCTCTCTCCCTTCCTCCCTCTCTTTCTCCTTTCTTTCCTCTCCCCTTCCCTCTCTCCCTCCCTCCTTCCCTTCTTCCTTCCTTCCCTTCTTCCCTCCCTGTGCTCAGGGGCTTATTCCTGACTCTGTGCTCAGGGAACACTCCAGGGCAGGGTTCAGAGGATCTTATGGGGTGCTGGGGATTAAAACTGGGTCAGCCACATGTGAGACAAGTCCCTTACCTGCTCTACTATCTCTCTGGCCCTACAAGTGAGGATTTTTTTTTGTAATACACTTAAAAGCACCCACAACTTCTCAACAGAATAAATTAGATGTTTTGTTGATCTGAAAGGCAACCAAGTCATGACAGTAAACTAATGATGCTTTTAAAGTTGGTCAAACCTCATGTCATTTCTAATAAATTTTCACACTAACTACTTATTACAGTGTGAAATAAGAAATTGCATGTTGTATGGATCACAGGTGACTAAAAATGTTCCCTTTCTTTAGATCTACAGGTTAAGCATTAGTGAGTTAGGCACAATATATCTATCTTATGATAAATTTTTTGGCCCTTGATTTCTAGTTTAATTCCAACGGTGTCTGAGGGCCAGTGTCTGATTTCTGTTGCTTTTTATTTGTGAAGTTGTGTTTTATGACCTCGAATGTAGTCTGTCTTGGTGAATGTTCTGAGGGAGCTGGAAAAGAACGTGTATTCTGTATTCTGTTGTTAGTGGTTGAAGTAGTCTGTACATGTCCATTACAAGCGGTTGATTAATGGTGGTGTTGAGTTCATATTGATTTTCTGCCTCCCAGAGCTGCCTGTTTCTGATCGGCGTCCAAGTTTCCACAGACGAGAGTGGATTCGTCTCTTTCTCCTTGTATCTTGCTCAGTTTTTGTCCCAGGCAGTCATACTCTTGAAGAAACTGTGGCCCTTTGGGCTCCTTAGGAAACCTCTTTTGGGGCTGGAGACATAGTTCAGTGGGTAAGGCGCTTGCCTTAGTAGGAGTGACCCCAGAGCGCAGAGCCAGGGGAAGTCCTGAGCTTTGCTAGCTGTGGCCCAAAAAGTTAGAGGAAAAAAAAATACACGTAAATAAACATATATAATAAAATATATTTTAGGCTGTTTTTGCATCATACCCAGCAGTGCCCAGGGCCCACTCCTGGCTTTGCACTCAGGAATTATTCTTGGCTGTGCATGAGCGACTGTACGGGATGCTGGGGATTGAACCTGGGTCGGCCACATGCTAGCACCCTACCGGCTGTACTATCTCTCCAGTCCTGAGATACATATTTTAATATGCCATATATGTGTATATACGTATATTTTTGCCCTATTTGGCAGCATTCGGGGATCACTCCTGGCTAGCCCTGGAGGACCCCGTGTGGTTATGGGTACTGAATCCCAGGTGCAAGGCCTTACTCCACCTTACTGCTGTGCTCCCTGTGGCCCCTGGGACTTTTTAGTTAGCATGTTATAATTGATATAACCATTACCTGGGCTTTAGGCAGTTAAGTTAATGCTCTTTTTTGTTTGTTTTGGGCCATCCTTGGTGGTGCTCTGGGATTATCCCTAGTGCTTGGGAAGCCTGGTGCCAGCAATCAAACCCGGGACTCCTGGCCGAGAGTAAGGGTGCTTTCTTGGGGTTTGTTTTTTGGCTACACCCAGCAGTGCTCAGGGTTCCTGGCTCTGCACTCAAGGTTCACTCCTGGTAGACTCGGGGCGGGGGGTGCCATCTGGGGTACTGGGGAGTGAACCTGGGTCAGACACGTACAAGGCAAGCACCTTATCTGTTGTACTATCTCCCGCCTGCCCCATGACAGTTGTCTTAATGCTTTCAAGAGTGTGACAGATTGGCTTTTGCATATATAAGCAGTGCCTGGCTCTCAGGTAGATCAGCTTTATCACAGTTACAGAGCTACATAAGTAAAAGGTTGCTTTCTGCAAAGGCCGGTGGCAGGACAACTCTTTATCTTGTTCAGTTTTTTTTTTTCTTCGTTATGAAATGAGCTCTCACAGCCAGTAGAAATAGCGATGAATGACGCAGTCCTCGGATGGGTAATATCTAGCGGCATGTTCTGGATTGTTAACAGCCTGTTTGCCCATCTCTGCGGGAGGCTAACCTGAATGTTGGGAGACGTTAATCATCATAAATTGTGATCCGCATAATCAGCTTCCCTCCCCGTTGTGTAGCTCTGCAGAGTTCACTGCTGAGTTGAGCTGCTGAGCTGAAGCATCTGGCTGGGGTTGACACTTGTTGACGTCCTCCTTAAGGTGACATGCTCACTTCTTTCTCGCATGGGATTCGGTTTGTTTTCTCCTGTTTCTTTCACTTTTTTTAAAAAAATTTCTTTTTATTTATGTTTGAGCACACCTGGCAGTGCTCAGGATTGCTCCTGACTCTAGACTCAGAGATCATTCCTGGTTATGCTTAGGGGACCATATGGACACCAGGGATTGAACCTGGGTCAGCTGCATTCAAGTACCCTACCCACTGTGCAAGTGCTCCATTCCTCCTGTTTCTTTTTCATAGTTGGATACTTAATAGTTGAGGCCAGGTAAACTGTATCCTCTTCAACAGGGATGTTCCTTGAACTTAAATCTCAGGTCTTGGTGGATGTGGAGAAATGAGACAATAACTAGTGAATAACTAGTGAATAACTAGTGAATAACTAGTGAGTGTCCTTAGGAGAGGCCAGAAAGTACAGTGGGGAGGGTGTTTGCCTTCCACATGGTGCCAGAAGGCAGACGTGGGTTTGATCCCTGGCATCGCAGGAGCATTGTGGTCCTCTGAGTATTGTGAAGAGCAGTTCTTGAATGCAGAGCCAGGAGAACCCCTGAGCATAACTCCCCCCCCCCCCCCAATGTCTTTAGGGCTCGAGATAATATATTGCGCTCGGCCAACCCTGGTTTGATTCCTGGCATCACCTCTGTCCCCATGAGCACAGCCAAGAGTGATGATGCCTGAGCATAGAGCCAAGAATAAGCTCTGAGCACTGCTGGTGTGACTCAAGCCTCCCTCTCACCCCATGACAACTCCCTTCCCCCCAAAAAATCCCCCAAACAACCCAAAAATCAGGAATATCTTTTCACCATTTATGGTTAGTGATTAATACAGAATGTTGGCACTGTCAAGTAACATTATTGTATCCTGTAGTTAAAATATTCTTAAGGTTATACATAATATGACTAAGTTAGATGGTAATGTTAGGAAGGTGTGGTTTTTTTTTTTGTAGCATAAAAATAGCAAAATTTGCTGGACAGGAGAGATAGAGGGAAGGCAAGATAGTACAGGAGGAAAGGCACTTGCTTCCTTGCTGCTGACCTCTTTTCAAATTCCTGGTTTCACATTCGTCCCCTAAGCACTGCCAGGGGTAATTTCTGAGCACAGAGTCAGGAATAGCCCTGAGTACCTCTGAGTGTGGCCCAGTCCCCATTTAATAATGATTGAGCTCTTTTTAGGTATCATAGTTACATTGTTTTTACATATAATTAATCCTCATGACCATTTTCACCTATTTTTTTCTTTGTGTTCCATATGTGTGAACTTAAGTATTACAGAGTCAAGGCAATTTCCACAAGAAATCCTGAAGTACTCTCTCTCTCGAGAGGGGACAGGAGCTAAGGTGATGATCAGTAGCCCTCCCTGGACTGTGAAAAAATCAAAATCAAGAGTTGTCTTTTTTGGGGCGTGTATTGGGGGATGGGGTGAGGTTGTGATTTGGCTCACATCCAGTGGTGTTGGGGGCTACTCTGTGCTTTGTGCTCAGGAGACCACGCCATGCTGGGGATGAAGCCAGGAGTGGGCTGCATGCAAAGCAAGTTTCCTAACACCTGTCCTACCTCTCTGGCTTCCTGCATCAAAATTTGAACCTGCATAATCAGACTGGAGCGATCAGAAAGTGGTTTAGGGGCCTTTTCCATATGTGCAGTTGATTCCCAGCACCTCCTAGGGGTCCCCTGAGCTCCGTACCAGGAGTGATCCCTGGGTACAGAACCTTGGAGCATTGCTGGGTGTGACTCCACAAACCTAAATTTAAAAAAAAGAAAAAGAAAAGAAACCACAGTCCAGTTCTGGTCTCCTCCCTCCTTGGAGAATGCAAACCCACTGAGGCAGTGTGATTTTGTTGGAAAGAGCGGGTCTGGTGGCTGCTTCCGGCCCTTGGAGCGTCATCTGTCCAGAACTTTTAGGAAACTTGCGTGTTGAAAAGCAGCATATTGCAAGGAGCCTAGATTTGTCTCTTTTACATTACACGGTTTTTTGGTTCTCTGAAATTGAACATGGAGGATGTAATCAACTTTTTCTTGACTTAATGGCTTCATTAGGCACGTCAGTCTTTTTCATTTTCGCAGTTCTTGTGGTGTAGCATTTTAACTTGCATTTCCCTGCTACTAATGATCCTTTCTCATGTTCCAATGGTGGCTTTTGTGAAGTTACTGCTCGGAGCTCTTGCTCATTATTTTTATATTTCATTGCTTCTTTTCTGTTTGGACCAGGGGACGGGGGTGGCGGGGGGCAGGGGGTTGTACTATACCCAGTGGTCCTCAGGGACCTCTCCTGACTCTGTTTAATGATCACTCCCGGTGGTTGCTTGGGGGAATCATGTAGTCTTGGGAATAGATCTGGGTTGGAATGATTCAAGGCAAGTGTCTGAAATTCCTTTTACTAGCTCTCTGACCTCTTTTTCTTTTCTTTTCTTCTTTTTTTTTTTGTTTTTGGTTTTGGTTTTGGGCTACACTTGGCGATGCTCGGGGGTTACTCATGGCTTCATGCTCAGAAACTACTTCTAGAGGTGCTAAGGGGACAGTTTGGGGTGCTGGGGATTGAGCCCAGGTCAGCCACATGCAAGGCAAATGGCATACCTGCTGTAGTATCACTCCAGTCCTAATCTGACCTCTTTTTCTATTTTAACTTTTTTGATTCCCTTTTAATTTTTTTCTTTTTTTTGTTCTTGGGCCACACCTAGCAGTACTCAGGGGTTACTTCTGACTCCTTGCTTAGGGATCAGCCCTGGTGGTGCTCAGGGCACCTTGCGGGTTGCCGCGATTGAACCCAGGTTGGCCACATGCAAAGTAGGCACCCTACTGCTGTGCTATCTATCTCTCTGGCTATAATTTTTCATTTTTAAAATTTATTATACTTGTTTAAAGAAATATAAATGTTTTTGTTTGGGGGTCAGACCTAGTGATGCTGGGAGAGGGGCTTGAGGGGGCTCTGACTGGTTTAGTGCTGAGGGGTCATTTCTGTAGGTGTATGGGTGGGATCAGATTTTGCTTAGGATGGAACTCTGGGAGCCTGGCATTGGTGTCCATTTCTGTTTATATTTATTATTAGCCTGGTGCCAGGCACTCTTTCATACACTGGAGAGAAAGTAGTAAACAAAACTGGCAAAAGCTGCGTTATGGACATTTGCAGACTTCTTAAGTCAGGATTCTGATTGCAGTTGTTCAGGATATGATCTTGGCCACTATGTTTTGTGGGACTTTTCTCTTTTTGGGGAGTGGTAGGGTGGGGCACACCTGGCAGCGTTCAGGGTCTTTGTCCTGGCTCTGTGCTCAAGAATCAGTCCTTGAAGGTGCTCAGGGGACTATATATGGTGCCAGGGATCTAACCCATATCAGTTGTGTTCAAGGCAAGTGCCCTCCTGGCTATAATAATCTTTTCAGTTCTAACTTTTTTTCACTTTTAAGATTATAAGATCAGGGTGTGAGAGATATTAGAGAGGTTTAATAACTTTGCCTTGCCAGTGGCTGACTTTGGTTCTATCTCTGACATTACATAGAGTCCCCTGAGCCGCCACCAGGGCTGATTTTTGAGCACAAAATAAGGAGTGTTAAGTTCTGAGCATTCCAGGATGTGGTTAACTTTTTTTTAAAATTGAAAAAAAGAGAAAGATAAAATTGCTCTATACTTTTGGGTCTTAGGTGGAAATGTTGTCTCATTCTAGAGCTTGCCAGTGCTTGTTCGTTCATTCTCGGCATTGTCCCTCCCTTTTTCTTACAGAGATGACGGAGGAGGAACAGTTTGAGCTGGCTCTTCAAATGAGTGAGCAGGAAGCTAGGGCAGTGAACAGCCAGGAGGAAGAAGAGGAGGCGCTCTTGAGGAAAGCCATTGCTGAAAGCCTGAATGTAAGTATGCTGTATTGACACCATTTTGGGGGAGCTTGGATCAGATCTGCATGGCTTTTTTCCAGGGCTCTTTTGTACTCAGGACTAGCTCTAGTCATCGTGCCAAGGGTTTTCATCTGGCCCCTTCATTTCCCATAATCCATTTCAAAAGGTCATTGAATGACTGGAGGCCTCAAATTGTTGATTTTTGTGTTTTGGGCCACACCTGACGGTGCTCAGGGGTCACTCCTGGCTCTGCACTCAGGAATTACTCCTGGTGGTACTTAGAGAACCACCTTGGATTCCAGGGATCAAACCTGGGTTGGCTGTGTGCAAAGCAAACCTCCTACCTGCTGCACTGTCTTTCTAGCCCCAAGACCTCAATTAGAAAGGCATGTTTTTGTTCCTTTCTAAGAAAGCAGTTTGTTTCCACCCAACAGATTTTCAGTGGGTTTTATGTTTTGTTTGGGGGCTGTATCTGGCAGTGCTCAGGGCTTACTCCTGGCTCTGGGCTATACATCACTCTTGGCAGTGCTTGGGGAACCATATTGGGGTGCGGGAATGGAACCCAGGTCGGCCACATGCAAGGCAAAGTGCCTTCCCCACTGTACTATCAATTCTGGTCCTGAGTCCCCATCTTTAGGATAGGTTGTAGTTTCGAAAAACTGCCAGTGACCCAAGTTCCTAGCAACCCAGAGGTGCTTCCCACTCCTGTTTGGGAAGCAGAGGAGAGAAAGGAGAATTGGAGGTGGGTTCAGGTGAGGAAGAAGGGGTAATGTGGACCGTGTTTAAATGATGGTCCTGCTTGTTTATGGGGATTTGACTACGTGATTGAATTGTGGCATTAAAATTAGCCACTTAGGATTTTTTTTTTTTTTTCAATTTGGAGCCCATGTGCGGCAATGTCAGGGCTTCTTCCTCACTGCTCAATAATCACTCCCTGGTTGAACCTTATGTGGTGCCAGGGTTAACCTGGGCTGGCCACGTACAAACCAAGCATCTTACCTCTTGTACTATCTCTCTGGCCCTTTACCTTACTTTTTGTTGCTGTTTGGTTTGTTTTTTGGTGGGGAGAACCACACCTGATGGTAGTCAGGGACTGTTCTGGCTGCTGCTCAGGGACCATATGTGTGCTGGGGGTTTGGAGGATGGTGATAGAAAGCGCTTTTAACACCTAATATCTCTGGCACTCTCTCTCTGTTTCTCTCTCTCTCTCTGGACCTTACTAAAATTTGTTTGCATGCCAAGGGTGTGAAGGATATTTGCCAGTTGGCAGTCAAACCCCTGCCTTTTTCTCTTCGCCGTTCCCTTTGCTCAGACCAGCAAAGGAATCAGTGTAGGGGATTGAGTCCAGCGCTTTGCACTCTGCAGGCTGCCCACCCTCCGTAGAGTTCCAATGAATTCAGTAACTACGATTTGGAGAGCAGAGTCTCTTAAAGACAGTGGCCTTCCCCATATGTCCTTGCTGTGACCCCTGCCTGTGTCGCTGTTCTAATAATCAACCTCGTCTGGTTGTGGAATCACTTGTTTCAGAGTTGCCGGCCTTCGGATGCTCCAGCTTCCAGCTCTGGACCTCTGGCCACTGGACCGTCATCTTCCCAGTCCCACCAAGAGAACACCACAGACTCGGGGCCCACTGAAGGCATGTCTCCCTGTTCTGACTCCTTGCACTCATCAACTTGTAACCATACACCACAAGGGCGCTCTCACCGAGCGTAGCTAGAACAGACATGCCCCAAAGTCCTGCTGGTGGTATTAAAGAGGTTCGTTCAGAAAGTAAATTGAGCTCACATTAATACCCAGCATCCTTTTGATCTCCAAGGAGAAACCAACATTTGATAAAATCCAAAGAAGAGCCTTTAAAAAAAACCAAAACACCAAAACCACATACACATAAAAACGGCGGCAACAAAACAAGCCAAACAGCACCCCCCATGATGTAATTCTTGGTAAGAGCTAGCTTACCAATCTCGCTTCGTAAAAAAGTTGGTCCTGAGCCCTACTTTTTCTCAAATACCTACAGGCAAATGGCATCTGGGACCTCCATCCCTGTTTAAAGGCTCCCTTATCAGTCAGGGAAACGAGGCTGAGGACAGAGAGGAGCCCTGGGACCACCCTGAAAGCACAGAAGAGGAGTCGAGCTGTGGCAGCTCAGGAAGCTGGGAGCAGGCAAACTCGCCAGTGTTTGAGAATGGGACCGCTAACTGTGCTGACAGATGCACTGGCCATTTGACTGAGCACACAGTGTCGGGGAAACCCCAGGAAACTATTGGGAAGGGCTCCGCATGTCCACAGGCTGCCCAGGGTAGGGGGGACACAGCTAGGCCCTGTCGGCCCGCGCCCACAGAGGCTAAATGTCTCCAGGACGCTGAGGGCACAGTGCACTACTTCTGGGGTGTTCCATTCTGCCCGTCCGGCGTGGACCCTAACCAGTACACCAAGGTCATTCTCTGCCAGTTGGAGGTGTATCAAAAGAGTCTGAAAAAGGCTCAGAGGCAGCTCTTAAGGAAAAAAGGCTTTGGGGATCCCGTGTTACCCAGCCCTCCCTCTCTGATCCAGAGCGAATGTGGCCAAGGCGATCAGGCTAGTGAGCAAAAGGAAGGTAGCTCCGAAGATGCAGGAGATGAAGACACAGAGGTGAGGCAGGAGTCTAGGGCCGCTATCTGGCACGCCAAGCCCATGGATTTCCGAGAAAGCCCCGTCGAAAGCTTGCAGGAGAATCCTTTGTTGGAGGAAGAACAACCCACCACGAGTCATGGTCAGGTAAGGGCCGGCGGTGCTGTGATTAAGGACGATTGATTCGAAAATTAAGCTAGGCTGACTTGTAGTGCTCTGTTCCTTTGGTGGTGGTTTTTTTTAAATCTCCTTCGATGCTTAGAGTAACACATGCTCATTCTGGAAAACAGGGCAAGCACTGAAGAGTATAAAGAAGAAAAATTGCTCGCAATCCCAGCACCGAGAGCCAGTCATCCATTCTAATATAAAAAAAAAATGTTTAAAATATTTTTTCAATAAAATGAACTCTCTTGTAATAGTTTTTGTTCCTTTCTCCCAGTGCATGGTTTATCTTGTATCTTTTCCTATTAGGTATATAATTTCTTTTGTTTCTTTGTATGTTTTTGGTTCATATCCAGCTGTGCCCAGGGCTTATTCCTGGCTCTGTGCTTGGGGATCATTCATGGTTAGGCTTGGGGGACCCTACGGGCTGCCAGGGATTGACTTTGGATCAGCCATGCGCAAGGCGAGTGCCCTGGCTAATCTACTGTCTCTTTGGCCCTACTTTTGGAAAACTATATTCAGTCATGTGGTATGTACATGAAGTCATTTTTTGGGTCTGTGTCTTGAAATTTTTCTTCTGTCTACAGCAGTTCACATTTCTAAGAGATAACAGTAATGTCTGCACGCCTCAGAATTTCAGAAGCTATAAATAAAAGAAGCCTTGTCTCATTTCCCATCCCCAGCCGCCCGTTTCCCAAAGTCAGGCTTTAGTGCTAGTTTCCAGTGATTGTTCCACCATTTGTACTTACCTCACTTTTTTTTTTAACTTCCTTCAGACCTTGTTTTTCTTTTTTTTTTTTTTTTTTATTAGTGAAATACTGTGGTACAGTTGTAGACTTAACAATTTTTTTGTTGTTGTTGCCTTTTGGGTCACACCCGGCGATGGCACAGGGGTTACTCATGACTCTGCACTCAGGAGTTATATGGCAGTGCTCAGGGGACCATATGGGATGCTGGGAATCGAACTCGGGTCAGCCGCATGCAAGGCAAACACACTACCCGCTGTGCTATCTCTCCAGCTCCTAGACTTACAAATTTTTGTGCTTGGGTTTCAGTTATACAATGATCAAGTACCCATCCCTCCACCAGTGCCCATTTTCCACCATCATGAATCCCAGTATCCCTCCCCCCATGCCCCCCCCCCCCCCCCCGTCCCTCCCTGCCTCTGTGGCACGGCATTCCCTTTTGTTCTCTCCTTTTGGGTGCTGTCCCTCAGACCTTGTAATCTAGTTTCTCCCCTCACCCCCTTTGTGCTTTTGGGGTCACTCTTGTCAGTGCGCAGGGGACCATGTGACGCTGGGGGTGGAATCTGGGCTCCTGCATGCAGAGCCTGTGCTCATCCCACTGAAGTACCACCCAGCCCTGATGGGTGTTTTTTGCTGAGTGGGGTTCCGGGGGTAGGGGGAGCTCTCAAAAGGGGCACATGGCCAGGATTACTCTTTAAGGGACTTGAAACTCAGGGAAGGGGAAACATTCCGTCATGGGTTGTGAAAGGGGTAGAAAGGGACCCCCAAGCTTGTGCCTAAAGAATTGGTGGTTTGTTTTGTTTTGTTTTTCGTTTGTTTGGTGGCTATATCCAACTGCGTTCAGGAATCTCTCCTGCGAGGCTTCAGGGGACCATATGCAGTACCAGGGATCAAACTCAGACTGGCTGTGTGCAAGCACCTTTCCCACTGTACGACCTGCCCATATATTTATAAAGTTGTAAAGTTACCATCAAGACATCAAAGAGGAACCCCGTTGACATTCTCTTGATTCTGCCCATTCCCCTGTTTTGATAATTGGTGATGTCATCAGTGTTGTCATTGGTATCTGTTCCTCCCAGAGTGACTTGAGTTCTTTTTTTCCCAAGGAATGGCATTTCCTGTCCTTGTCCTTGCCCCACCTACAGAGGTAGGCTGCATTCCCATAGTAGGTGTCCATTCATATTTTTAATTTTTTTTCCTTCTGTTTTTTGGGCCATACTCAGCAGCGCTCAGAGCTACTCCTGACTCTGCTCAGGAATCACTCCTGGTGGGGGTCTGGGGGCCTAGTGGGGTGCTGGGGATTGAACCTGGGTTGGCCTCACTGTGCTACCGCTCTGGCCCTTGGACACAGCATATTTCGTGTGCCCTTTAATTTTTTTTAAATCTCCACAAAAGCATTCTATAACCATGTAGAAAGTCTCTCTGTCTTTTTCTCTCTTCTTGCCTCTGTTGTACCCCATGTGTGACTGAGTTAATTTTATCTAGTGCCCTATTAAATGGACATTCAGTTTCCAGTATTTCTCTCTCTCTCTCTCTCTCTCTCTGTGTGTGTGTGTGTGTGTGTGTGTGTGTGTGTGTGTGTGGTGATTGGGTAGATCCAGTAGTGCTCAGGGGTTACTCTTGGCGGTGTTCAGGGTACACTATATGGTGCTGGGCATGGAACCAGGGTCAGCTGCAAGCAAAGCCAAATAGTTTCCTTCCTACCTCTTTGGCCCCAGACAGAATTCCTATTATGAACATGATTGCAGTGATTACTCTTAGAAGGAGGGTATTTTCAGCCACCTGGGAAAGACATATTAGAGAATTTCTTGTCGATTTAGTTGGTAGATCAAAGGAAATAGTCATTTAGAATTTTGTTAGCGATTGCCAGTTTTTCTTCTGTTGAGGTATAAATAGACAGGTTGACTGCATTGTGTAAGTACCACCTGCTCCATTCACAGATCTGCAGTAGCTCTGGGGAGTTTTTGGCAGACTGAGATGAGAGAGAATATCTCTGCTATGTCCCTTATGAATGGATTGGGCCCCTTTGTATTTTTTTCTGGTGTGTTTAGATTCCCCCCCCCCCCTTTTCCCCCAAGGGTGCCACGCCCAGCAATGCTCAGGGCTTACTTCTGGTTATGTGCTCAGGAATAACTCCTGGCGATGCTCAGAGGACCATACGGGATGCTGGGGATTGAACCCAGGATGACTGTGTGCAAGGCAAGCGCCCTACCTGCTGTATACTCCCTCTAGCACTCTAGACTTTTGGGTTTTGGCATGCTTGGGATTACTCCTGGTAGGGTTTGGAGGCCTCCCTGGGGTGCTGGGATTGAACCTGAATCAACCGAATGCAAGGTAAACACCTTACCTGCTGTACTGTTTCTGCTGGCCCCTGGTATGTTTAGATCTTATGGGTACTTTTTTGAGGGATTGGTCACACATGGGGGTACTCGATTTATGGGGTGGTGCCAGGGATTTGAACTGAGGCTCACTTCATGTAAGGCACATGCCCTATGCCCAGACTATCTTTAGCCCCGTGTGTATTTTTCTTACTCACCAACCTTAGTGTTTTGGCAGCTTCCTTTATTTATTTGGGGACACAATCCATTGGGATAGTAAGTGTAGTTTTCCAGTTTTTTCCTCACCCCCACTAATGGAGTGTGCTTCACGTCTGGTTTTCTTTAACTTACTAAAACAGTTTTGTTTAGGGACATTTACAGGGCCTCTTCGGTGTTTTTTGTTTGTTTTATATTTTTGGCTTTTGGGTCATATCCGGTAGTGCTCAGGGGAGGTCATGGGGGGGAACTGTTTCTGGTTCTGGGGATTGAACCAGGGTTGGCTGCATACAAGTGCCTTAATAACCCATCCTTTAAGTTGCCTCTTTATTTTTTTTTCCACATGTCTACATGGTGTAAAAGATTACATATTTTTTTCCCTGAGTATCATAAAAGCAATCATAATTACAAATGCTGCATATTGTCTTCTGTTGCTGTTTGTGTTATTGGACTATAAATTTTTGGTTTTATTGTGCCACTGTTCTGCCTTTTTTTTTCTTTCTCATGAAAAAATTTCAGAAAGCGGTAGCTATGAGAAATTTCATAATATCAAAGTTAAAATTTGACTTTTCATGTTCTTGTAACTGGGAGCAAGCCAATTTAGCCTTTTGGATTTTCATTTTTATATCTATAAAATGGGACTAACAATTCATGTCTTCCCCTAAAAGAACTAGTGTGATGTTTCTGAGCTCATAGGCCATCGTCAATAATAGTTCTCTCTGAGGGGCCAAAGGTCATCATGGAGGCTCCTGTGGGACCCATGCAGCCTTCACCCACATTTTGGAAGGGGGCTCTCTGGCAAGCATTTTCCTTAACAGTGCTAAATGACTGGCCAGTTTTCCCCGAAAGGAGTTAGGTGACGTCATGCTAACGATAGCATGTTTTGTGAGTTAGGGTGTTTTTTTTTTTCTTTTTGCATATCAGTGGCTGCTTTTCTTGAGAGGACAAATTATCTTCAAAAAGAACGAACAGTACATGCTTGTAATTCAAGTGGGTAGCTTGAAAAAGCACCTCAGTGGCCAGAGTTTGAGAGCACAGACTTGGTTGTGCTGGGGTTTAAAAGCAGCCAGGATTTTTAGAATAGCCTGGAGTTGGGTCCGAATGAGGTGACTGATTAGAATGAACATTCTGTTAACTTCCCCGACAGCTTATTGCTGCAGATAGGATTCTTTTAGTTTTCTTTATGTATGGTTTGGTTGCTCAGGGCTTACTCTTGACTCTGCTCAAGGATCTCTACAGTATTTGGGGGAACCCTATAGGCTGACAAGTATTAAACCCCTGGTTTACTACATGCAAGGCAAGTGCCTTAGCTGTGTGCCTTATTATCTCTCTGACCCCAACAAATAGTATTCTGTCATGGGTCTAGAGAGAATATGGAACATAGGGTGCTTGCCTTGCCTGTGACTGATCTGTTTTAGATCCTCAGCACCCTGAGGCAGGGAGAGGGTCCTGAGACCTGCCAGGAATGATCCCTGAGTATTGCTGGGCAATTTCCACTCCCTTTCCCTCTGTAAAAAATTAAAAAAGAAGTGGGTTATCCAGCGGGCTGGGGTGCTTGTCTTGCATATGGGTTGACTTGGGTTTAATCTCCAGCTTCCCATATGATTGATCCCCTGAGCCCTGCCAGGAGTAATTCCTGAGTGCAGAGCCAGGATTGACCCCTGAATTTCTCTGTGTGTGGACCCAAAGCCAACCAAACAAAACCCCAAAACAATCTCTGTCGCACTGTTTTGTTACTGCCAATCAGATCTAGTTCCCTTGATTACAAAGAGTACTTTTTTGTCATAAACAGGATGCCTTGTCAATTTTAAAGAGAAAGGTGATCAAACCTGGGCCTAATCATCAGCAGTAGTGTTAAAGACACTGCTTGCTTCTTCTAGATCAGATGTGGGGTAACTTTTTTCTGCCCAGAGCCATTTGGATATTAATTATAACATGATTTGAGGGCCCTGTGTTATAAGCAAATGGGATGCGGGCAGCTAGTGAAAAGTATTATGTCTGTCCCATCATGCACCAGGGCCATTTCCACACCTGCAACATTCCCCACCTGTGCTTTAGAGGTGGAAATCTTTGTAGAGCTATCCCATTTTGTCATCATAATATTTTTGTTGTTGTTTTGTTTTTTGGGTCCTACCTCGTGGCACTTGGTGCTTACTCCTGGTTCTGTGTTCAGGGGTCACTCCTGGCAGGTCTTGGGGTGCCATATGAGGTGACAGAAATTGAACCCAGGCTGGCAGTGTTCAAGGCAAGCACCCTACTCTCTGTATTGTCACTCTGGCACCAGAACTTTTTTTCTGGTTTTCTGGACCACACCCAGCAGTGCTCAGGAATCACTCCTGTGGTGGTGGTGGGGGGGGTGTTTGGAGACCATATGCCATGCTGGGAATCAAACCCAGGTCAACTGTGTAGAAGGCAGACACCCTACCTGATGTACTATCACTCCAGTCCCAGCAACATATTTTTTAACAGAGATTGCAATGTCTTGATTTGGCCACAACTTTTTTCAAGTTAATATTCTTGTCGTACTTCCGTTTCCCTTGATTAGGCTTGGGGATTCTAATCAAGAGTTTTTTCACTTGTTTTGTTATATTGTTTTCATATTCTGGGAGGACCTCACATTCCCCCTGACATTCATATTACTGCCACTGAGTTGTAAGTGGAGAAATTAAAAAGGGTTTATTGAAATGGAGACATTCTTTGGATTTAGTGTGGAAATGGTGGAGAAGAGCATTTCCGTGAACTCCGCAATGCTGATTAAAGCGTGGACTTTGGAGTCTGAAATTGCAGCTCTATTTCGGACCAGCTCTGTGGTATTTGGGGCAAATTATATAATGGACAATTCCACTTTCCTCATTTCTAAGATAATTGAGTGGTTTCTGCCTCAAAGGTTCTTGTGAAGATTAAAGGAAACAGCGCAAGCAAAATGATTAGCAATGGTCTGGCACAGGGTAGAAATACAATTAGAAAGAAATGGCGTGATAGAGATGGGGGTGCGGTGCGAGGTTCAGGGCTTAGTCTTAGCTCTGTGCTTGGGGATCCTTCCTTGTGATGCACAGAGGACCCCATCTGGTGCCAGGGCTCAAACCAGAGTTGGCCACATGCAAGGCAGGCAGACACCTTGTCCCCTGTAGTGTCCCACCGGTAGTAGAGATAGTCTTGAATGTAAAGTGGGAGTTGAGGTCTTTTATAACCTCCAATGCCTTGAGTGCTTCTGAATCCCAAGGCTTATTTATAGTCATCCAAAAAACACAAAGTTCTATCAACTAGACACTAGGTGTCAGTATTTACCTTTGTTTCGGCTTTAAAAAATTCCCCCCTCTGATTCTGGAATGAAACGGTTTTTGTCACTTCTGGGTTCCAACAAATAGTCAGGTGAAGTATTTATTGCTGTTGTATTTCAGTCCTTCTGACAGTTTTGCCGAACTTCCATTTTTCATAATGACTGCATCCCTGATCATTGGACAACTTTATCTTTCCCGTGACTGAATCCTCATCTCGGCGCTTCCTGTTTTTCAGTCTATTTCATCATTGAGCAGAGTGGCAGGCGGGATGCCTCACTTGTTTAGATTATTTATATCCTTTGGAGACCCTGAGAATTTCCACTGGAAGCTTTCCATCAACTGGGGGAAGCCTCCCAGCTCAGGCACCACCTCCAAAGTCTCCCCCAGCCCATGGCTCGTGCTCCCCCATCCTAGGCAGCAGAAGCTGCTTTTATGTACCTCCAATTAATAAGCTAACATTTATGCCATCTGAAATGATGAATCAAAGAAGAAAAGGTTTGGTCACATTTCTTAACAGATATCCTAGAATCTGTGGCACATTTGTAGCAAAAGAAGCTTTAGTTTGGGGTTTGACTTGGCTGTTTCCCAGAGACTTCCAACAGAGGACAGCATTTTCCCCAGTATTTGCGGGGGGGGGGGAGGGTGTTGTTGAGCCTCCCCTGGTGACGCTCAGGTCTTATTCCTGACCTTAGGGAGTACCGGAGAACAAACTTAGGTCTGCTGTATGGAAGATGACCAGTGCCTTATTTTTTCCCTGTTCCACCCTTTCCTGGTTTTTCTATTGAAAAGTCACCTTTCAGGGGCCGGAGTGATAGTACAGCTGGTAAAGTGTTTGCCTTGCACATGGCCAACTCAGCTTTGATCCCTGGCATCCCATATGGTCCCACAGGCACTGCCACGAGTGATCCCTGAGCAATGCTGGGTATGACTAAAAAGCAAAAAGAAGAGAGGTGACCTTTCTCATTCCTTTTTCTCCATCAGCAACACCCTAAGTGCCCTTTTTCTGAAAAAGACTTCTTTGTTTGTTTAAATTCACTTACCAGTAAATGTGCAGTGTGTTGAATTTCAGCAAGTGTGAGGCTGCATTATTATTGGCTTCCATTCTCAGTCGAACACTAAAGAGCTGAACTTCATCCCCGTGTTCACTCGAGGAGACAGATTCGAAGGTTGACTTCTCTGGGATCACAAAGTTCATAAGTGATCCATCCCTGGTTATTTCAACCTCAGGCCTGAACTTTGGATGAAAATGGCAGCACTTGTTCTCAACGCGTTTATTCTCATTGTTCGCTGCGTGGTACAGTTGGCACTGCTGAAAGTGTCATAAGACAGAAGGGAGATCAGTTCCTCTGTACCTGTATATGTAAACTATGGCCTGTTCCTTTGCAGTCTTCCCAAGGGCTCTTTCTTGAAGAAAACTCTGAAGAAAGAAACTCTGTATCTGCCCCACAAAGGTAAGAGCAGATATGTTGGGGGGACTCACTTCTCTCTGAAACACTGGAAAGAGAGATGAACCCACTGATGTGGGACAGTTCGCCAGGGCTTAATTTTTTTTTTTAATTTCTTTAATTGTTCATTTTGGTTTTGGGGCCACACCTAACAAATGCTTGGAGTCACTCCTGGCTCTGCACTCAGGAATCATCCTGGTGATGCTCGGAGGACCATCCTGGTGATGCTTGGGGTCCCTTGGGATGCCAGGGACCGAACCTGGGTTGTCTGCATGCAGGGCAAACGCCCTACCTGCTGTGCTATCTCTCTCACCCAGGCTTTTATTTTAAAAGCCCTTTTATTTTGTGGGGCTTTTCTGCTGTGCCCAGGGCTTACTACTTGATTCTGCACTCAGGAATCACTTCTGATGGGCTTGGGAGGATCATATGGGGTGGTGGGGATCAAACCCATGCAAGTAAGTGCCTTATCTGCTGTACTCTTTCCAGCCCCTAAGCCCTTTTATTTTTGTTATTTATTTTAAGAAATTTTGGGAGCTGGAGAGATAGTATAGTGGGTAAGTTGCTTGCTTTGCAAGTGGCCAACCTGGGTTCTGTCCCCAGCGTCCCATATGGTCCTCCAAGCACCACCAGGAATTCCTGAGCACAGAGCCAGCAGTAACTCATGAACATTACTGAGTGCAACTCAAACAAAAAACAGTCTAATAAAAAAAAATTGGGGGCCACATTCAGTGCACAGCGCTTATTCCTGGTGGGGCTCATGGACCCTTTAGAGTACCAAGGATCAAACCTCGATTGACCTTGCTCTACCCACTGTACTGTACTATCTCTTGGGCTCCCCTGCCAGTGTGAGTGTATGGTAGAGCGGAGGTTTGGGCCGTATGTGCAGTGCTCAGGGTACTGTTCTTGGCTCTGTGCTCAGGGGTGAGCAGTGATGGTACTGGGTGGAGGACCATATGCAGTGCTGAGGATTGAACCAGAGTCAGCCGTGTACGAGCCTTCGCCCTCGTACTCTCTGGCCTACTGCACTTATTTTCTATGTCAAGTTGAAGGATTTTATTTACAATTTTTCTTCTCCTTTTTTGTTGGGTGGTTTGGGGCCATAGTCAGCTGTGCTCAGGACTTACTCCTGACTCTACTTAGGGAGCACTCCTGCTGGGGTTGGGGGACCTAATGCGGTACTAGGGATCACATTTGTCCCTTGTACTCTCTCTAGCCCCCTGTAGTCTTCCTAAGCCCCTCCTCTGTCCCCGCTGCTGAGCTTTTAGCTGTAGAGCCAATCCGCAGATATCTTTCAGACTGACTCCTTTGACTTGCATCCTCTTTGAAGCCTTTCCCTCTTTCGGGCCACGCTAAAACTCATCCTCCCTTCCTGCCACTGTTCTTTTTTGGGGGTGGGGGTGAGGGGATGTGAGGGAGATGTTGGGCCACACCCCGCGGTGCTCAGTGGTCACTCCTGGTGAGCTTGGGAGACCATATAGGGTGCCAGGGATCGAACCTGGGTAGGCTGTGTGCAAGGCGAGCGCCCTCCCCGCTCTACTATTGCTCTGTCCCTGGTGTGCCACTTTTCATCTGATTGTATCTCAGCTTTCTCTTAAATTGTCAGGTTGGTATTCCCTCCTCAATTATTTCTTGCTGCTTGATTGATAGGGTCCTGGCTTTAAGTATTATTACTTAAATAATAGTGCCTAATGGATTATAAACAGCAGTAATTTGGGGAGGGTTAGGAGTTTCGGGGTTATACCCAGCCGTGCTCAGGGCTTACTCATGACTCTGCTCAGGGATCACTCCTAGCATTGTTTTGGGCACCCTCGGCAGTACGAGGGATCAAACTGGGGTCATCTGCAAGCAAGGCAACTGCCTTAACCCCTTTGCCCTCTTCTGGCCCCTGTATGCCACTTTTCATCTGATTGTGTCTCAGCTTTCTCTTAAATGGTCGAGTTGGTATTCCCTCCTCAATTATTCTTCTTGATTGATTGATAGGGTTCCTGACTTTATGTATTCTCGCTTTAATAATAAATGGTGGTTGACGGATTACAAACAGCACTATTAACTGGATCGGACTCTCATCATTTTCTCCCTGTATGTCTAGTTGTTGACCTTTGGAGCTTACCAGCGAGCTTAATTTTGCATCGCGTGACCCTTCATCTCCACGTTGAGGCTCGATTACCATTGGCTGCGATTTAGTCTGTGGACTCGGGCACAGGGGCTAGGAGTAGGTAGGTCTTGTGGTGCGGAAGAATATGGCTTTGGTTTGATTCTCCCGCTGTCAAGATTGTTCTGGAAGTGGTTTTAACTGGAGTCGGCCTTCTGCTTCCTGCCGCCCCCTCTGCTCTGTGGTAGCGAGCCTTGTACTGAGCAGATGGAGGTTTTAATAAATGATTATACAGTGTGTCACCAGGAGAGAGCTGGACTCGCAGGCAATGTGGTTTGCCTTCCAATTGATTAGCCCGTTTTAGAAGTGTCAGCAAATTGTATGGCCACGGACCATTTGAAAAGAACCTTCCTGTCACGCGCAGAGTAGACTGGGTTTGGCTCGGGCTCTGAAAACAAAGGCACTGAGATGGTTTATTGAGAGAGAGAAATCACTTGTGGTTTCCTATCAGGATCCCGTTGTTTATCACGAAGTGGCGGTTCCTTTCTCTTCTCCCTGGTCCGCATCTGCTGGGCGGACTGTGTGTGTTTCAGTGTCCTCTTGCATACTTGATCGAACTCCTGGCGAAGCTCTGAAGCGTGAGGAGGGTTAGTTCAGAGACTTGGGGCTTGCAGCCTTGCTTCCCGTGCCAGGAAGATTGCACCCCCGTGAGCTGGCAGGGAAACCAGAAGGTAGATGAGGGGAGCAATTCATAATCAGGGTTTTCTCGGAAGAGATGTTCAATGTGTGCGGGCAGAATTTTACTGTAGGATCATTTGGAATGGCATCTTATTTTTGTTGCTCAGGAAGATGCGTTTTGAGAGACTTTTAACTCAGGTGAGCAGGGTTCTTGGCAAGCGTATTGCCAGGAGAACCTCCATATTCTCTCTCTCTTTTGGCTTTTGAGGTTTTTTTTTTTTTTTTTTTTTTTTTTGCTTTTTGGGTCACACCTGGTGATGCTCAGGGGTTACTCCTGGCTCATGCACTCAGGAATTACTCCTGGCGGTGCTCAGGGGACCATATGGGATGCTGGGAATCGAACCTTGGTCGGCCATGTTGGCTGCATGCAAGGCAAATGCCCTGCCTGCTGTGCTGTCGCTCCACCCTCGGCTTTTGAGTTTTTTGATCACCCTCAGCTATGTTCTAGACTTAGTCCTGGCTCTGTGCTCTGGGGTCACTCCTGGTGGTGCTTGGGAAATCATTGGGGTGCCAGGGATTGCATTAAGGTCAGCCTCATGCACAGCGAGTGCTCTACTCATTGTACTGTCTCTCTGACCCTTTCGTATCCTCTCTTAATTGCATACAAACCCCCCAGCCTTCAGGAGGCAGTGAGGGACTTTGAAACACTTTTGACATCTTGGCTTTTGATTTTGTTTCTTGGCCACAATCAACAGTGCTCAGGGCTTACTCTGGCTCTATGCTCAGGGGTCACTCATGGTGGGGCTCAGGGCATCTACCATATGCAGTGCTGGGGATAGAGTCCAGATCGGCGATGGGCAAGGCTAGTGCCTTAACCCATCTCTCTGGCCCTCATAGATCCTCCTTAATCCCCTTACCTTCCTATATGAATATGCCCCAAGTAAGTGTGTGTGTGTGTGTGTGTGTGTGTGTGCTCGCACAAATGGTGTGGGGTCCTTATAATTCTGTGATTTCACTGGAACCACAGTTCTGGATTGGGTTTTTTTTTTTTTTTTTTTTTTGCTTTTTGGGTCATACCCAGCAATGCTCAGGGGTTTGTCCTCGCTCTGCACTCAGGAATCACTCCTGGCGGTACTGCGGGACTATATGGGATGCTGGGGATTGAACCTGGATTGGCCTCATGCAAGGCAAACACACTCCCTGCTGTACTATGGCTCCACTCCCCTGGAACCACAGTTCTGGATATGTTGATTTTCTGGGCTCTGGGTCTGGACTTTGCTTCCAGTTGGCCTGTAGGGATCCCACAGCTGAAGTCTTTGGGTCTTTGGGAGGGACTCAGCATTACTTTGGCCTATGTTCTGGGTGATTTTTCTAGGGAAACTCATTGGGGGCTTTGGGTCTTTTTCAGCGTTGCCACTTTGCCCAGTAAGAGAAGTTCCGTCCCTCGGCCAGAAGGTTCTGCAGAGGAAATCACTGTGTGTCCAGGTGAGCACTTACTATGCTGGAACTATTTCTCACCCCATTTCTTTTCCCACCTTTCTGAGGGAGTCACACATACTCATATAGACCTGTGTACGTACACCCTCTGTTTCTTTTTAGGAGCTTTAGGATCACGAACCTAGGTACTTAGGAACTGCTCCTGGTTTTGTTTTTTGGGTCACACCTGGCTGTGTTCAGGGCTTCCTCCTACCACTATGCTCAGGGATCACTCCTGGCAGTGCTCAGGGATACCAGGGACCATATTGGATGCTAGGGATTAAACCCAGGTCCGCCACATGCTCCAGCTGTCACATGCTCGGGCTATGTTTCTCCTTTTTTGAAATGGACATTGACTGAATTTCAGCCTTTTCTCCTTAAAGATATTTTTGTCATGAAATCCCTGTGGCACTTGGATCTGTTCGTTTGTTTCCCAACTTTGCTTGTTTCCGCAGAGCAGCCAGACTGAGAACTCAGCATTCACAGCCAAGAGGAATTTTATATTTTGGCTTCTGGGTTCTCAGGGTTGGACTATTTTCTAATCTGTCTTTATTCTCCTGAGAGCCTTTTACTAATTATTGTGATTTTCTTTGTTTTGTTTGGAGGTGGTAGGGGGTTGGGCCAGTTCTGGTCATACCTGGTATTCAAGGGTGGTGAATCCTGTCTTGGTGCTCAGGGTTACCCCTGGCGAACCATGTGGTGCTGGAACTTGACCATGGGCTTCCCCACATGCATATCTGTGCTCGGCCTGTTGAGCTATCCTTCTAGTCCCTATTATTAGGATCTCTCTCTCTCTCTCTCTCTCTCTGTTGTTGTTTTGGGGCCATACCCATGGCTACTCCTGGCTCTGCACTCTGGAATTACTCCTGACAGTGCTCTGGGGACCATATGAGTTGTTGGGGATCGAACCCAGGTTGACCGCATGGAAGACAAACTCCCTACCCTCTATACCATCTCTCTGGCCCCATTATTGGGATTTTTCATAGGGATCACTCCTGGTGACCAGGCATAAAATGGCTTGGGTTGGCAGTACTGGGTATGGGGGGTGACCCTGTAGTGCTGGAGGTGGAACTCTGCTGGCCTGAACTCTGCCACTGGTCATTGGTAAGGTATCTTTCCCAGCCCCTGCTCCTTGGTTTTCAGGAGCCAGAGAGGCCGTTCGTGGGCGGCGACTCAGGGTCTCGTTGGGGTGGGGAGGAAAAGGCCGGCTCCACCCCCTTCCCATGAGGCCCCGAGTGTCTCTTGACTGCAGGCCCAAACCTGACTGTCCAGTGGCCCCTGGAGGATGGCGGCCACTGGGCCGCCAGGGGGAACAGGCCAAGGCACGAAACGTATTCCCACCTGGGTTGGCCCAGCGCCAGTAACCTACTGCAGGAATTGGATGCATTTCTGCTAAAAGCCGTTGGGTTTCGAGATTTGTTTCTGAGTTTCTGGGATCATGGCCGTTAAGCAGTTCGATCAGGAACCAGAGACGCCATGCCTCCAATTATATAGCTGGGCCGGAGGTGGTTTGTGGGTGTGTCTCCACATACCTAATTTTTGACCATTTACTTTCTTGGTAAACTTTGTCTCAAGTTTTTGGGGTCTGGCCAAAGGCACAGCAGCAATTTTGGGGTATCTGGAAGTCTGAAAGCGCCATCAGGCTGCTGATGCACTCACCTCACAGGTACAGATTGACCTGCTGGCAGCACCATACCCCCATGCTCCTTGGTTTTCATATGACTCTGCGCAAGGAGACTAGAAATTGAATGTTGTGTGTAGTTCGGGTGTTGTCTGACTTGTTTTTTGTTTTTGTTTTTGTTTTTGCTTTTTGGTTCACACCCGGTGATGCACAGGGGTTACTCCTGGTTCTGCACTTAGGAATTACTCCTGGTGGTACTTGGAGGACCATATGGGATGCTGAGAATTGAACCTGGTTCTGCTGCGTACAAGGCAAACGCCCTACCTGCTGTGCTATTGCTTCAGTCCCCTAACTGTTTTTTGTTTGGCGGCCACACCTGGTGGTGTTCAGGGTTACTCTGGTCAGCGTTTGAAGATTGTTCTTGACAGAGCTCAGGAGACTGTGGTGCTGGGGAATCAAACTCAGAACTCATTCTAGTCAGTTGAACAGTCTCTCTAGTCTCTTTAGACATTTTGTAGGCAGGGGGCGGGAGGGGGACTGGGGGATATGGGGCAGGTTGTTTGGGCCAGGCCTGTGCATCCTCAGGGCTTACTCCTGGCTCCTGGCACTGCTCAGGGATCACCTCTAGGAGTGCTCAGGGGACCCTGGGGGTGTGGGGGATTGAATACAGGTTGGCTTGTGTATAAGGCAAGTGCCTTCCCCGCGGTTGTATCACTCCAGCCTCTCTCGACTTCTAGAAGCCGTGAAGTTCAAGGACTTCCTATTGTGTTGGAGCAGCTAGTGTTACAGAGAAGTTCCTCTAAGTCATTTATAGCTTTCTATTAGGTATTGTAAAACCTGTCAGGCTCAGAGGGACTTGGGATTTTATGTTGGCCTCCCCCCCCCCCCAACAAAGACTTAAACTGATTTATCTAGAAAAGTCCTGTAAATGTTTCTAAACATGTGGCAGCATAGCTGAAAGGCCTTTTTAAAAATCTTCTAGGAAATTTAACTGTTGGTTCTTGGGTGGCAGTGGGGGGAGGGTTTGGGGCCACACTCAGTGGTACTCGGAGACTCTCCTGTGCTCTCCTTTGCAGTAATCCCTGGTACCATGGTGCCTGGGGTTTGAACCAGGGTTGGACACATGCAAAGGAAACCTTTGTGCTACCGCTCTTGCTTTTTTTTTTTTTTTGCTTGTGGGATTTTGTTTTGTTGGGGCACACCTGATGGTGCTCTGCAACTATTCCTGACTCTGTGTTCACTAGTGACCCCAGCAGCGCTCAGGGGGCCCATATGGGGTGCAGGGGATCTATACCAGGCTAGCAGTATGCAAGACGAGCATTTTACTTTCTCATACTCCCTCTCTGTTCCCTCTATTGGTTCTTTCTTTTTCTTTGGGTGAGAGGCTGGGACTGGGGCCATATCTGGAGATGTTCTGTGCTACCTCCTCATGGGCCCAACCTTAGGGTGCTGGGGCTTGAACCCTGGCCTGTGGCATGCAAGGCAGCTGCCCTGCCTGCAGTATTATCTCTTCAACATCTCCCCAGGTTGGTTCTTCATGAAAGTCATTTCTGAATTCATTCGAAATGTATTAGGCTGACTGCCAAAGGCAACCCACCAAGAGCACCCCACCAAGGGCTCCCACCTTTGGCAGGCGAACTCAAAGCTGCTGTGCAATCCTGGGGCAAAGAAAGCTTTCCCCACCCTCTCTACCAGGGACTGCTGACCCTGCCAGCCTGTTGGGCATCGCTCTGCTCGGGTGGAGGGCCTGTGACATCACAGGGGGACCAGGCAGGAGGAACCTGCAAATACAGTAATTTGGAAAGCCCTGGCTTAATGGGTGGGGTGGGGGTGGGGGGCAAGCCAGCCCTTCATCACCAAGGTTAGATCACTTTCGTGATCGTGACTCGCTGTCATTAGCCCGCTAATTAAGTCCAACTGTTTGCTGACATAAACTGCTTCTAAATGAGATCGCAAAAGGATGCCATAACATTACCATTCCTCTGGCTAAGAAAATAGAACTCCTTCCCCATGGAGCCAGACTCCTCCTGAGTCTCTTGAAATAGATAACTTAGATGCCGTGGATCTAAATCGTCCCAACAAGTGGGTTTCCAGGGGAGGAATGCAGATCAGAGCTCGTAGTTCAGCTCGCCTTATTCCTTGGTCTCATAGTTAAGACACTTGCAGGGGTCTAATTCCAGGTATCATGGTGCAAAATTTTAATACCTTCTTAAATGTGACTCATTCTGACGAAGAAAGATTATGTTCTTAGAGCTGGATTATGCAAGCTACTACCCTTGTTGCTTCTTTGTGTGTATGTGTGTGCTGGTGGGGTGTTTGGGCCACACTCAGCAATACTCAAAGTTTACTCCTGGTTTCTGTGCTCAGGGATCACTCCTGGAGGGGTTCAGGGTGCTCTGTACAGTGCACAGGAATGAGAACCTGAATGGTGAATGGGTCATGTGCAAGGCCAATGACCTGCCCTCTGCAGTACTACTCCTGCCCTCAGCCATTCTTTCTAAGGGGCCTCTTAAGTTGTCATTATGGTTAGACATTTTGGATTTTGGGCATTTGCAAAAAAGGTTGATTTAAGACTTTTTTTTTTTGCTTTTTGGGTCACACCCTGCGATGCTCAGGGGTTACTCCTGGCTTTGCACTCAAGAATCACTCCTGGCGGTGCTCAGAGGATCATATGGGATGCTGGGAATCGAACCAAGGTTGGCTGCGTGCAAGGCAAATGCCCTACTTGCTGTACTATCGCTCCAGCCCCCCAACTGAAGACTTTAATTTTTTTTGTTTTGTTGTACCCAGAGTTTTACAATGCCAGGCTTCACCACTGAGCTCATGCTATTCCGGCAGTAGTGCAAGCAAAAACCAGCTTGTAATTTCTTTTTTTTTTTTAATTGTTTAGTTTTTATTTTGTGGCCATGGCTAGTGGTCCTAAGGGCAGCCGCACTCAGGGATTACTCCTTGTGGGATTAGGGAGACCCACTCCCTTCAACAGTGCCAGGGATAGAACCTGGGTTGACAATACACAAGGCAAGCACGCTACCCACTGTACGATTTCGCAAGGCCCAGCAGTTCTTTTTTTTTTTTTTTTTTTTTTTTTTTTTAATTGAATCACTGTGGGAAAGGTTACAAAGCTTTCAGGTTTATGTCTCAGTCATGCAAACATCAAACACATTTCCCTTTACCAATACTTATTTTTTACCATGAAGAACCCCAATAAAACCCCACCCCCCACCCCTCCCCGTCCCTGTGAGGCAGATGAATTCTAGTTAACACTCTATCTGCTTTGATTAGATTCATTGTTTCAATAAAAGATTCACCACTATTATTTAGAGTTCCCCCCCCCCCCCAAATCAGACATGCTGAAAAAGCATTGTGAAGTGATTTGCTTTCTACAGCTGGGTTCAAGAATTAAATGTTGGTTTTGGATTTCTGCTATTTTACCTATTGACCCTGGAAGTATTTCTACTGAAAGTCAGATAGTTAAGAAATTGATTTCTGTGTTCTGGAGTCGTGGCCGTGCTGGAGAGCCGCTCGCGGGGGGCAACTGTTGACCTCGGTAGGGGGTGAAGGACGGACCGGAACGCCCCCCGACCCATGAGGTTTTAGTCGCCCCCACACTCCCGGCTCATACCTGCTGTCCACAAGGCTCCCATGTGGCCGCCATCTTTCTTTCCAGAGAGGAGAGGGCGAATGGGGCAACACCCTTTCCCCTCCGGCAGACTTGATGGCCTGGATCACCGCATAGTCCGTTCACTTTTCTGCTCCAAGTTGCTGGGTTCTGCATTAAGTCCTTGTGCTTTTGGGTCCGTGGCTGTGCTGGAGAGCCGCTCGTGGGGGGCAACTGGTGAACTCGGTAGGGCGTGAAGGACGGACCGGAACGCCCCCCTTCCCATGAGGTTTTAGTTGCCCCCACACCCCCGGCTCATACCTGCTGTCCACAAGGCTCCCATGTGGCCGCCATCTTTCTTTCCAGAGGGAGGAGGGCGGAAGGGAGCAACACCCTTTCCCCTCTGGCCCAGCAGTTCTTAACTTAAAAGACTAAATGTCTTTTTTGGTACTATCTCTCCAGGAAATCTGACAAGAAGATTTTGAAAATTATGCAGTCTAAGCCTTTTTTTTTTTTCAACAAGGGAGTGAAAATCTTTTTCTGTGTGTGTGTGTGCGCGTTATGTGTATATGTTCTTGTTATTCAGTCTTAAAAAAAATTAGGACATATTAAAATATAGTTAACTCAGAAATAGAATTTTAATCCTTTGATGATTCAGAAGAATACCCTAGCATCTGACAGGTACTTTATTTATTCAACATGGACCGTTGTTGTTTTTGTGACGTACCAGTTAGCTGCATAGACTCTGATCACAGAGAACTGAACTGTGTGTATGTGTTCTGAGATGAATTTCTTGGCCAGATATTTTGTCCTTTGAAATGTAGATATTGTTACTATATTACGCAATAGATGCCAAAATCAGAGGCAGACAAACTTATTTTTGTTTGTTTGTTACTCCAAGACTAGAGAGTAAATATTTTCACTCGGGAGTCCGTAGATCTTCCTTTTGAAACACAAATGTAAAGGCAGCCCTAGTCAGAACAATGAAGAAAACCCACAGCTAACACTAATGCAGCTGGGTCAAGCAGGTCAACCCACAGAATTCGATTAGGAGCTCTTGTTGGCTAATACCCAAACCCGACTCAAAAGGCTCGCCCCCCTGTCACTTCGGGGGCTGTTGTAATGGCCTGTCCCGTCCTCAGGCGTCTAGCTGTGCCAGGGTCCAGCCCAGGACCTGGTCATGCAGGGCCTGTGCTCACCAACTATATCCTTGGCCCACAGATCCTATTTTTATTTATCTATTTATTTATACTGGGGGTCTTTCATATAAGACCCACACTTTGCCACTCAGCCAGGTCTGTGGCCCCCAAACACAAACTCTGGACCCCATATCAGTGTTCCTGACCCAGTAGGTATGGAGAGAGGGCTGGGAATTAAGGGGCCCTCACCTTTTACTTCTATATTGATAGTAGCTTTCGCCGTGCTGATAACTTGTTCAATAAGACTTTATGGAATTAATGCTTACAGAATGCTTTAAAGATGGGCCAGAGAGAGTACAGTGGGCAAGGCGCTTGCCTCGCACACAACCTTCCTGGATACAACCCCCAGCATCCCATTCGGTTCCCAAAGTACCACCAGGAGTGATCCCTGAATGCAGAGCCAGGAGTAAAGCCCTGAACACCTCCAGATGTGGCCCAGAAACAAAGAATACATTAAAGAATTTTAGCTCTGTCTAGGATCTATGTATTAAATTTTTTTTTAAATTCCTGCTCTGAGTTTCTGTCTTCCCTGATTGTTTTCTTGTTTTGTTGCACTTAAGGATCGCTCCATATGGGGTGCCAGGCATTGAACCCCAGTTGGCTATATGCAAGGCAAATGTCCTACCTGCTGTACTATCACTCTGGTCCCTTTTTTAAAAAAATGTATATATTTTACTATTTCTTTTTTTTTTCTTTTTGGGTCACACCTGGCAATGCACAGGGCTTACTCCTGGCTCTGCACTCAGGAATTACTCCTGGCGGTGCTCAGGGGACCATACGGGATGCTGGGAATCGAACCCTGGTTGGTTGCGTGCAAGGCAAACACCCTACCCGCCGTGCTATTGCTCCAGCCCCTCCTGACTATTTCTTGAACCTCCCACATGCTCTGACAGGTTTGTGGGTTTTGTTTGTTTGTTTGTTCTTAACAAAATGAATATACCTGCACACCAGAACTTATCCTGGAAACCAGTCAGATGGCTAAACACATAATTTGTTCAAACAGTAGAATGCTACTCAGCAGTCAAAGGGATTCACTGCTGGGGCCAGAACGATAGTACAGTGGGTAGGGCACTTACCTTGCACATGGCCAACCCAAGTTCGATTTCCTGGCACCCCATGTGGTTCCCTGAGCCCTGCCAGGAATGATCCCTGAGCATAGAGTCAGTAGTAATCCCTGAGCACCACTGGTTTTTGCCCCAAAAGTGAAAAAAATAAAAGAGAAAGGATTCCACTTCCAAGACTTGAAGCAACACAATTCATTCCTCGAAATGAAAGAAGGCAGACCAAAGTGATGACTCACACTGTATTATTTCATTTATAGAACAGCTCATAAAATGCGAAATCCCAGCAGTGTTGGTCATTGCAGAGAACCATGGGGAGGGGGTTGGCAACAGAAGGATGGAGACACAGTGTTTTTTGGGGGGGTGTTAGAAAAGTTTTTATGGCTTGATTGTGGTGGTGTTATATAGCATAAGTGACACCTATGCATGGATTTGAACCATTGTATGACCCAAACTGGAAAATTCTGGAATCTCAGTCAAGCTTTAAGAAGAAACACTTTAGATCTGTAGAGTCTCTGTGACATTATTGGGTCCAAAATCACAATCAATCAATCACAAATCATCCTGTTATTCGTCAATTGCCTCGAGCAGGCCCCAGTAACGTCTCATTCATCCTAGCCCTGAGATTATATTCAAGGCTCTTTAGGAGAATGAGACCCATCATTGTTACTGGTATTTGTATTGGGTACGCCACGGGGAGTTTGCCAGACTCTGCCATGTGGGCAGGCTACATTCGGTAACCTGCCAGTTTGTCCAAAGTAGGAATGAGATAATAAGATGTCATAATAAGATGTCACATTCGCGGCCGCGTGGTTCCGGGAGCTGGATTTTATAGTCTCTGAGTCTTGGCCGTTGATGGGATTACACGGTGCCAGGGGGCCAGTTGGTGGGTGTGACCCCCGCCTACTGGAATTTGGAGGATCTGGGTGGAGGATGCTCGGCCCAAATCTGAGTAGGCTTGGAGATCTCGGCCCCGGAACCCGCGTGACTTTGTCCCTCTGCCAGTACCTTCATGTGTGCGGAGAGTGGTCTCAGCATGGTGGTGGCTGGTCCTGGAGGTCTTTGGCTGCCGGAGCCCTGGTCGGGGTGGGGAGGAAAGCTCAACCCGCTCCCCTCCAAGGGGTCCCGGCGAGCGTGGACAGTCAGGCGCCGGGGCAGGAGACTGCACTGTTCTCTTCCGGGAGCTGGTTTTTAATAGTCTCTGAGACCCCCGCAATGGGTCCAAAAATTGAACGGAAATAGGTATTTGTGGTTTGAACAAGGAAAATACTGAGTGGATGCTAATGTGATTTTCATTGTTTTACTCTAGAAACCCAGCTAAGTTCCCCAGAAACTGTGGACCCTGAAAGAGAAGTTTCTTCAGGGAGCAGAGAGACCCCGGATAAAGTGAAAGTTGTCACAACCAATAAGGAGGTGAATATTGCCTGCCTTTTTTTCCCCTCAGTAATCCTTTCTCTGATGTAATGTGAAAAGGTTTAGGTGCCTGAGAATCGTACCTTTGGGGTTATTGACCTCATAGATAAGATTCTGATAAGTAAGACAGTTCAGCCCTGTTTCTGAAACTAACAGTTGGTACCCAGTTATCATTTCTTTTTCTTCTTCTGTATTTGGTTTTTGGGCCACACCTGGTGGTGCTCAGGGATTACTCCTGGCTCTTCGCTCATGGGTCACACCTGGCAGACTTGGAGGCTTGTATGGGGTGCTGAGAAATGAACACAGATCTGCCACGTGCAAAGCAAATGCCCTATGTGCTGTATTATCGTTCAGCCCAAGCAGCAATCATTTCTTGAGTACTGTAATATGCTTTTTCTATTACAGGGGGGCAAATAGAGACTTAGGATGTTTAAGTTATTTGCTCAAATTCAGACTAAAATTTAGTACAGCTAAATTTGGACTCGTTCAAAATGTGTGCTATTTCCCATTACATACTGATGAGTACAGACCTTTTATTTGTTTATTTATTTGGGATTTTGAGCCACACCTTTTAAGTGCTTAGAGCTTATTCCTGGCTCTGTGCTCAGGGATCACTCCTGAGGACCATGTGGTGTGCTGGGGAATCAAACCTAGATCAGCCTGTATGCATGCCTTCTCCACTGTATTATCTCTCTAGCTGATGTGCAAACTTTTTTTATGGGTGGGGGTAGGGGTTAGTTTTGGGTCACCCCAGTGGTTCTGGGGATTGGAGGCTCCCAGTGTTGCTTGTGGACCATATATATATAGCGCTGGTACTTGGGATCAAACTAGTTCTCTTGTCTGCAAATCATGTGCTCAGTCTGTTGTGCTCTCTGTCTGACCTTTCCATTATATACTGATAAGGAACAAATGAAATATCTTAGGACACCTTATGTTTATATTATGAAAAAATTTTCTCCCGTTATTTTAAGACTTGATCAGAAATGCAGAGTCAGGGGCCGGAGAGATAAAACAGAGGGCAAATTACTTGCCTTATATGTGCGCGCGCGCACGCGCACACACACACACACACACACACCCATGTCCTCAGAAGTCACTCCTAAGCACAGAGCCTGGCATCGTCCTTGAGCACTGCCAGCTGTGCCTCAAACCACTCCCAGCAGTCCCTCCCCCAAACCAAAAAGATGCAGAGCCAGGATATGAGTTAGAATAATGGGCAGGAGGGATAGTACAGTGGAATGGGCACTTGCCTTGTGCACACAGCAGCACAGAGTCAGGAGTAAGTCCTGACCACTGCTTGGTGTAACCCAGACATACCACCCCCCCATCAAAAAACAAAGGCAGTTAAAATAAGCATCTCTCTGGTTGCATTATTTTTCCTAACTTGGCATATCTAGTGACAACCATGAAGCTGATTGACACAACTTCATACCTCGTAAGATCCCCTGGGCCAGGGGGAGAGCCCAAAGGGTTGGGGCTCATGCTTGAGAGAGCCCCAAGGGTTTTTTGTTTGTTTTTAAGAGAGCCCCATCACCTCATCTCAAGGAATGGTAGTGCCCCTCTAGCCTTGGTACCATTAGCTATTATGAACACCTCCCTCATCCCTCAAAATGGTGTGGATTTTTTTTCCTACTGAGTCTACAAACAATTTACCAAGCAATTGTTTTTAGACTGAGGAGCTTTCAAACATTACTCAGGGGGCCATCCCTGGTGATCCTCAGCCTGGCTGCAGAGACCTAAGGCTTCAGGGCTGCTTGCACCCCGTAATGCTGAGGGTCACCAGGGCGGTACTCATCTGGTGGGGGGGGACTCAGAGGTATGGGTATGTGGTGCCAAGATTTGAATTTGAGCACAAGCAAGGCCTGTGCTCCAGCCCTTTGGGCTTTCCCCTTGACTATCTGTCAAGAATGATTTGAAGGAATTTGCAAATCTTTGAAATCGGTTTTGAAAACGATGGGGCGGGGAGGGGGGTTGAAAATATTTTCCATAGAAAAATTGTTTTCTGTCATTTTATTTATTTATTTTGCTTTTTTGGGTCACACCCAGCGATGCTCAGAGGTTATTCCTGGCTCTTCAGTCAGGAATTCCTCCTGGCAGTGCTTGGGGGACCATATGGGATGCTGGAGATGGAACCCAGGTCGGCCGCGTGCAAGGCAAACGCCCTACCCGCTGTGCTATCGCTCCAGCCCCTTTTCTGTCATTTTAGAAATACAGATTTCAGTTACACTTTTATATAATGTCTGTATCTGAAGCATTCTTGTTTGTTTGTTTGTTTGCTTTTTATGAGACGTTACTGGTGCCTGCTCAAGGAAATCAGTGAACAACGGGAGGACAGTGCTACAGTACTTTTTGGGTCACACCTGGTGATGCACAGGAGTTACTCCTGGCTCTGCACTCAGGAATTACTCCTGGCGGTGCTCAGGGGACCACATGGGATGCTGGGACTCGAACCCGGGTTGGCCACATGCAAGGCAAATGCCCTACCCGCTGTGCTGTCGCTCCAGCCCCTATCTGAAGCATTCTTAAAAAGGATAGTTTATTTTTTTCTACTTTTAGAAATTAAAAGCAAAGGCTGGAGAGATAGTACAATGGGTAGCATTGCATGTGGCTAAGTGGAGTTCCATCCCTAGCACCTCATAAGGACCCCCCTGAGCCCTACCAGGAATAATTCCTGAGCTCTTCACTAGGAATAAGCCCTGAAGCATCACTGGATGTGGCCTTCAAACAAAAAATAACAACAGCAAAAAAAGAAGCTGTTAAAACAAAGCTGAAAGTAGGAACCAGAGTGATATTACAAGTACCTTACCTAGCTCTGTATTATCTCTCTGGCTCCAAGAACCAGTTTTCATAATGAGACTCACAAGTCTTTTACGGGGCATATCTGCAGATGAAATGAGATCAGGAGTATGAAACTCACAGCAAGACTGGGCAGAAGTAGAAGTAGGCAGGCGGAAACCGTTATTAGGTTCCTGCTTTGCTGGGTGTTGCTACTGTTGCTGATATTAGCTTGCTCTGGAGAAAGCCGATTGCTCACCAGTGTGGGAAAGGTTTGGAATATCTCTGGCAGTGAGGTTATCCGACCTGATTGGATTTCCTACATGGGTCAGGTGCTATTGGAAACAATATTTCCTGAACATCCTGGTTGAGAGCTTCCCTTTGTTGAAATCTAGTCTCTTCTCAGAGGCGGTAATAGAGGTTGTTTAGAATCAAAAAGTCTTTGCTTGGACTGGGGAGGGGGGAGTGCTTACCCAGCAGTGCTCACGACTTATTCCTGCACTGTGCTCAGGGATCACTCCTGGCTCAGGGATCACTTCTGGCAGTGCTTGGGGATTGTGCATATCTGCTGTCTCCCTGGGCTCAGACAGCCTTTATTTTAGGCAGTGCGGGGTGTGAGTGGAGGGGGGGCACACCTAGTGGTACTCAGGACTTACTCCTGGTTCTTTGCTCCAGGATCACTCCTGGTGGAGCTCAGGGGACCATTCAGGTTTTCGGGGATTGTACCTGGGTCAGCCATGTGCAAGGCAAAATGCCCTACCTGCTGGACTATCTCTCTGGCCTAAATAGTTTTTTTTCCTTTTAAATTGTTCTGATAGTATTCAGGGGCTGGAGGTTGACCTGAGGACCTTGTACAGGCCAGGAGTGTACTTTATCGCTTGAGCCACATTCCCATCCTGAAATAGTTGTTTTGTTTGTTGCGGGAGTGGGAGTGGGGGGGCATTTGGGATCACGGGCTCAGAGGCATTCTAGAGACACTTCTCCCAGCTCTGTGTTCCTGATGTGTTTCTGTGCTCCCAGTGTTCAGTGATGGGGGGGTGTCGCCATCAGCACTATCCCTAAAGTGCCTAGAGACCACCATCGCCGCATCCCACAGTGCTGGAGGTGGGGGGTTACAGTATTGTTCTTGGGGCAGAACTTAGGGCCATGTGCTTTCAAAGCATTTCCTTAGACCTTTACGCTGTCTCCCTAGTCCCTTAAGTGGTTGGTTTTTGGTTTGGGGGCCACACCTGGTAGCTCAGGTATCACTCCTAGTGGGGCTCAGGTGTACCATAGTGGGTGCTGGGGGGTTTTGTTTGTCCTTTGGGAGGCACACTTGGGGCTTGGGGTCTACTCCTGGCTCCACTGCGTGTGCTTGGGGGTTTCTCCTGACAGTGCTCTGGGGACTCAGGAATAGGCCCTGAGCTCCTCTAGGGGTGCGCCAAACTCCCCCAAACCTTCTCCATGTGGTGTGCGAGGGATCAAATATAGGGTTCCAGTATGTGAGGCACACTGTCTTGCCCTTTAAGCCACTCCTGGCCCCTCAGAGTGTGCCATTTTAGGTAAAAGGCCGGGGTGTTGAAATGACATTTCCCAGCAGTTGTTGAAACTCTTGGCGGGGGGGGGGGGGGGGTGAGGGGGAGGGACGGCACGGCAGACAGACTGGCCACACCTGACAATTCTCTGGAGCTGGAGCTCTGTGTTCTGCAGTGCTTGGGAAACCATATGTGATGCTAGGGGCTTGAACCTGGGTTACCTCCTCTAGTGTCTCTCCAGCCAGTGGAAACTCTGGCTTGGTGTTTGGTTGGACTTTTCCCTCTTTTCTCACTAGATTCCCAGGCAGTCAGTTTTAGAGATAACCTAAACTTAGAGACCAAATGGAACAAAATCAAATCCCCAAACCACTGACCCTGTTGATTCTGAGCTTGGCTGATCTCCCATTGGGACTTGTTTTATTTTGGGTCCACACCTGCTGTGCCCAGTGCTTATTACTGGCCCAGTGCTCAGGGTGGTACCAGGGATCGAACTGGGGTCAGTTGCTGGCCACTCAAGAGTCTTTTCCCCCCTGTGCTAGCTCTCGGGGCCCTCCCACTGAGGTTGGCCTCTGGATCATTGCGCCAGAAGGATTTTATTTTTCCCCTGTAGTGAGACATAATGCCAGCCTCACTGCGCCCTGTTTGTCAGTGGCAGTGGAAGCCATGCGGGACACTGTCACATTGATCAGCTAGGACAGGCTGTCCTTTGATGCAAGCGAGGCCTTGTTGCTGCAGTGCCCATGCCTCCTGTTGAATTAATCACTGCAGAATTCTTGGCTCTGACCTATAAAGGTAAGAGGGCCCTGCCTGGGAGAATCTCCAGAAACTGGGAGAGAAACGATGGCTATAAAACACCACGAGGCAGAGGAGAGGTCAGGTGGAAGTACAGCCCGGCCAGAATCACCTGATCGTCTTCGGGACTTTGCTCCTAGCCTTCTTCGTTGTAGTCATATTTCCTCTTGAAGCACGAGAGGCAGAAATAAAACCCAGGCAGTATTGCCTTATTGATCCAAAGGCGAGTGAGGTTCTTAACTTCCCTCTTTAACAGGTGCTGCGTTTGCTTCGAGCCCTTTTGTCTTCTAACTCTTTGGGGTCTTGGAGTGATGCGGGTCACAGGTCTTAGAAGAGACCAAAAAAGGTTTCAGGGACCGGAGGGAGAGTAGCAAGTCAGACAGGTGATGCACTGCCTTGCGGACTGCCAATGCTGGTGGGTCCTTAGCAATGCATTTGGGTCCCTGCATGCCACCAGGGTGCAGTCTATTGCACAGAGCTCCAAACTCCCCCACACCCTCCACCCAAGGAAAAAACAGTCTTCTATGGGGGGGAGGGGGGTCACACCCGGTGATGCACAGGGGTTACTCCTGGTGACTCTGAACTCAGGAATTACTCCTGGCATTGCTGGGGGACCATATGGGATGCTGGGAATTGAACCCGGGTTGGCTGCATGCACGGCAAACGCCCCACTCACTGTGCTATCGCTCCAGCCCCGAAAAAAAGTCTTTAGAATGCTGTTGATATCCGGACTATTGGACCAAGCCCATTCAAGCATCCTTCACTGGTGATTCTTGGCCAACCCAGGTTGTTGTTTCAGTTCCCAGTCCTGAGCATGTGCTTGGGTCCTGCAGTGCTGGGGTTTCTCCAGGCCTCCCTAACACTACTTGTGTGGGGGCTGGAGTGATAGTACAGCGGGGAGGGCATTTGCCTTGCACACGGCCCGACCCGGGTTCGATTCCCAGCATCCCATATGGTCCCCTGAGCATGGCCAGTAGTAATTCCTGAGTGCATGAACCAGGAGTAACCCCTGTGCATTGCTGGGTGTGACCCAAAAAGAAAAAAAAAATACACTCCCTAACACTACTTGTGTGGCCATGTGTTGCCCAGAGTCACTCCAGATTGGGTGCATTCTAGGTATGAGTCCTAATTGCTTTTTTGTTTTTGTTTTGGGGCCCCAGACAGCAGTGCACCGGGCTTGCTCTTGACCCTGTGCTCAGGAATCACTCCTGGCAATGCTGGGGGATCATACGGGGTGCCGGGGATCAAATCTGGGTTCGTGTGTGAGGCAAGCTCTTGGTCTGCAACTTTGGGTTTTTTTTTTTTTTGACTGGGGAGTGGGGGATTGGGACATACCCAGGGGGGCTCAGGAGCTGTTTGTGACTCTGCTGAGACAGGGGCCCTGGCAGTGTTCGGGGGACTCTGCAGTGCAGAACCAGCTGCTTGCACCGTAGCATCTTCCATCCTCCACAGCACTTTTCTCCTCTGAAAACAGGGTAGGTTCAGGGCATGGTAAGATTATTATTAGAAGGATTAAATGAGTTAACACCTGCCGAGCCTCTTGCACATGGTAGGAAGGCCCTGGAGAAGTGTTTACGCCATTTATGTCTCTCTCAGACTTCAGTTTGGTAAAGCGATTGCGAATGTCTCTTGAATTTTTTTTTTTTTCTTTTAAAGGGGGACAATTCGAGCCACAGACAGTTAGCAGTGCTCTGAGGCTGTGCCCGACTCCTGGGGCTACTCCGGGAACCCTGTTGTGCTTGGGATCAAATCCTGGTTCACCTTTTGCACAACAAATACCTTCACTGCTATACTATCTGCCCTGGGAGTGTCTTCCTGCCCTCCCCCCGCCCCAATTTTTCAGGCCACACTTGGCAGTGCTTGGGGTTGACTCCTGGCTCTGTGCTCAGGGATCACTCCTGGCAGGGCTCAGGGAACCCTGTCCGGTGCTGGGAAAGGAGCCCATATCGGCTGCATATAAGGCAAGCGCCCTCCCTGCTATCATCGCTTTAGCCCAAAAATGTCTCTTTGAATGGACGTGAAACGTGGCCCCTGGAATCCCTTCCCTTGCCATTCCTGAGGGCTGAGGGGCGCATTTATGAAATAGAGCAATAACCGTTGCTGTTCCTTGCTTTTTTTAGGTTGGTAGTGGGGATGATGCTGAGAAGAAAGCCCGTCCATCTTCATTTTTGTCCGGCATCCAGGTATCCTGCCCGCTATGCGACCAAGGCTTCCCGCCTACGAAGATCGAGCTGCACGCCATGTACTGCAATGGACTCGTGGAGCAGGAAACAGGTACGGACTAGGCGTTGAGGCACCAAGTGCTGCTATTTGCCTGCCCGCTGGTTTTTGTCACTTGTGGCAGTACAGTGCAAGAACCATGATGTGTCGCTCAGGACCTGTGATGCTGGGGGTCACTTGGGCCTCCCTGGCAATGCTCCAGGACCTCCAAGCACACCCAGTGATGCTCCGGGGATTGAATTGGGCCAGATGCATGCAAGGCAAAGGGCCCTAAGCTCTGTACTGACTCTCTGGCCCCTAAAATGGAGGTTCTTTCAGTCTGTGTATTTGCATTTTTCTCTGGTTAATTTTCTGTTTTTTTTTTTTTTTTTCATTTTGGGGGATTTTGGCCCATAGTTGTTGCTTGGGACTTACTCGTTCCAGGAAGTGCTCAGGGATCATTCCTGGTGGGACTTGGGAGACCATATGGGATGCTGGGGGTCGCACGTGGGCTGGCCACATGCTAGGCAAGCATGCTACTCTCAGTACTGTTGTTCCAGCCTCTACTTTTCAAGTTTCTTTGTTACGTGAACCTTAGGGAAAGGGGAAGGAAAAGAAAAAAATCTTCCACTTCTGAATGCTTCAACTTATTCTTGGCTCTCAGCTGGCCAAAAAATCAGGCAGTGGCTGTGGATGTCACATTTCATTGTATAAATAGATAAATACTGAGATGCCTGTGTGCTTGGAGGACTCAGTGCTGAAGCTGCCCATTTTAATTTTTCATTCAAAATAAGTCCCTCGCGGGGACTGGAGCCATAGTACAGCAGTTTGGGCACTTCCTTACATGTGGCCCACCTGAGTTCAATTCCTGGCACTCTGTATGGTCCCTTAAGCCCCGCCAAGAATGACCCCTGACTGGAGAGCCCAGAGTTAGCCCCAAGTATTACCTGGTGTGGCCCTCCAAAACAAGTCATTTGGTTTTGTTGGGTGGGTTTGGGACATTTTGGGTAGAAATCAGATCTAAAGACAACCCCTGGCAAGGGGACCCTGTGGGGTGGCAGGGATCGAAATCAGGATAGCGGTGTGCAAGACTAGCGCCCTACCCACTGTTCTGTCTCCCCAGCCCCAGGTTTTATAGTTTAAGAGTTCCTGGAAAGAAAGGCACTTGTTTTGTGTTTCCTTGTTGATTAAATAAGGATGTACTTTCCCTATCCTAAATGGAAAACGGAAACCACTTGTTTTTGAAACATAACTAGGTGTTCAACAGTGTCACTGACATCACTATGGCTTAATTCTTTAATTCCTTAGCATGAGTCAGACACTATTTCTGGAACCCAGGTCGACCGTATGCAAGTCAAGTGCCTTATCTGCTATACTGTCTCTCCAACCCTGCACTGCAGCATTTTAAGGGCCAGAGAGAGAGAGTACAGAAGTTAAGGCACTTAATTATCTGGCAGGCAGCCAACCCTGGTTTTGATCCTGGGGCTCCCTGCACACCACTAGGAGTGACCCCGAGCTGCCTCCAGATATGGCTCCTGTACTCCCCCGCCTTGCTCCCCCCCAAAAAAAAACAAAAAGGGAAAATAGGGGATGCTAAATCTGCTCATCACATTCCATCGAAGAAGCAGCATGAAGCATGAGGACCCTAGATGCGGTTTGAATCTGCCAGAGCGCTCTCGTTTGCCTTTTAGCAGTTAGTTCCCGAGCCCGAAGAAGTGCTGGGCGTTTGGTGGTCAGAGAAGAGATTCCATTCTGTCTCGCCCAGCACACTTCCCCCGGCAGGTGTCAAGGAGCCCAGTCGATGGCATGCCCGGCCTTGAGGGCCAGAGATAAATGAGTTGAAGAGGCTAAATGAGGCTCGGTGCCAGGGCGAGCTGGCCTTCCTGCGTCAGAATTATTGGCCGAGGAGCGGTATGGAATCGCTCCTTTGGCGTCTCCCAGTGCGCCCTCCACGGGCACGTTTGGGCGTCTCGGGAAGCTTCGGTATTTATTACCAGTAGGCGGTTTTCAAATGCTGCAGTACCTTCTTTTCAGTCTGTTCTGCCCGGCGGTGTAGGAGGGAGAGACTCACAGATCCAAGTCCTTGCTGTGGTGATGGATTCAGGCCTTTGTTTCAATTTTCTCACCGCCAGTTAGACGTGGGTCACCTTGAGCATGTTGATGAGCTGATAGTGTCAGGGTCAGGTGGGCCAGGTGATCAGAGAGGTACAACATTTCAGGGGAGTGAGGCATGGGATTGGAAGACTGGACATGAATTTATTCAGACTATGAGACTTTTATTGTTTTTTGGCAGGGATGAGGTGGTTGGGTCCATATCCGGTGGTGCTCCGGGCTTACTCCTAGCTCTGTGCTCAGAATCACTTTTGGCAGGAATCAGGGGATCCTCCGCAGTGCTTAGGATTGAACCGAACCATAGTGAACTGCGGGCAAGACAGGCATCTTAAGCACTGTCCTGTCTCTCTGGCCCCAGGTTTGTTGTATGTTGTATCTTTTTTTGGGGGGGGGGTCACACCTGGCAATGCACAGGGGTTACTCCTGGCTCTGCACTCAGGAATTACTCCTGGAGGTACTCAGGGAACCCTATGTGATGCTGGGAATTGAACCCAAGTCGGCCGCGTGCAAGGCAAACGCCTTACCTGCTGTGTTATTGCTCCAGCCCCTAGGTTCATTGTCTTGACTTAATTTCTGCAACAGCTAACCTTCCCCGTCTTCCCTGCCCAGTGGTAGTGATTCTATTTGTGACTGGAGATAGGCCATACCTTCAGTCTACTTTGAATATCTCCAGGTGTCCCCCCCACCTCCACCACCACCAAAAACGAAGTAAGGGTTTTGGAGAGAATATAGTGGGGAGGGCGCTTGCTTTGCACGCAGCTGACCCTAGTTCAATCCTCGCCACCCTTTATGATACCTGAGCCCCCACCAAGTGTGATCCCTGAGCAAAGAACCAGGAGTAAGCCCTGAGCATCACTTGGTGTGGCCCCAAACTCTGCCCCCATCCACCATAAAAAAAATTTCCTAGGGAAGAGAGAGTTCTCTTTGGGAGTAGGTAAATTGGGCTTATCATGAGGCCAGTGTCTGCAGGGATGGAGTTCAAGAGTACTTACTGGACTGAAGAAGGAGCATAGCGAGTAAGGGTCTTGCATGCAGCTGACCTGAGTTCTATCCCCGGTACCCCATGTGGTCCCTCAAGCAACCCTTTGTGCAAAGCCAGGAGTAAGGCCTGCACACAGACAGGTATAGCCCAAAAACCAAAAAAATAAAAAAAAATAAATAAAAAAAAACAGGGAGTGAGGACTTAACTCCCCTTGGGAGCCTCCAGCTCTCCCCTCTTCCAACCCCCCCCCCCAATCTGATCCTAGACATGCTTGGTTTGGCTGTGTAAAAGAAATAGTAATTAGAGTCATTTACATGAAGTGTCTCCCATTTATGCCTAGTTACCGTGCCGCACTATAACAATTATGCATATCATTAAATATGTGTCTGATTAACTTGGCTGTAAGTTTTATTTGATTATAATACTCCACACCGGTTAAGTTGCCTCCGTCGGCTCAGTTTCTTGCTCCCTGGCACCGCCATCAATTCACCCCTTGGGGGGGAAAAAACTTGTTTTCAGTGCATTGTTTGAGGGGAGAGGATTTGCTAAGCGAATCTCCGCGAGGACAAAGGCAGGTTGTGTTTGCATTGCTTTCTTCATGACTATTTTCATATTTTTACTTAAACACCAAGGAGGACTGAAGTGTCGCATTCACTCACTCAGTAAACCTTAAGTACCTCTTGCCTGTCAGATATAGTACCCAACATTACAGCGCCTCTTCTCAGGAACATTTTTATTTTGGTATGGGCTTGTGACAGCAAATAAATATGCAATAGGTCAAGGATAGGGGTGTGTGTGTGTGTGTGTGTGTGTGTGTGTGTGTGTGCGCGCGCGCACTTATTCCTGGCGGTGCTTTGGGATACCAGATGCAGTGCCGGGGTCAAAGTTTGGCCACATAGAGAGTGGTCAGTAATTTTGGGAGGGAGGGAAAGCAGAGAAAGGGATATTGGCTCAGAAAGCAGTGATTTAGGAGTTGGGGAGATAGTCCAGGGTTCAGGTGCTTTGCATGCAGCTGACCCCAGTTTGACAGTATAGTCCCCTGAGTAGCACCAGGAGTAAACTCTGAGGACAGAGCTGGGAGGAACCCATCCCTAAGCACTGCCAGGTGTGGCCCCCAAACCAAAAATGAAAACAAAGGTTAAAAAAAGAAAAGGCAATTTAAAATAGCTTGGGGCTGGAGCAGTAGCACAGCGCGTAGGGCATTTGCCTTGCACGCGGCTGATCCGTGTTCGATTCCCAGCATCCCATATGGTCCCCTGAGTGCAGAGCCAGGAGTAACCCCTGTGCATTGCCAGGTGTGACCCCAAAAAGCAAAAATAAATAAAATAGCTTGCCTTGCATGTAGCCAACCCTTGTTCCATCCCCGACACTGCATATGGTCACCTGCATTCTGCCAGGAGTGATCCCTGAGCATTGCTGGGTGTGGCCCCCAAACCCCAAGATATTATAAATAGAAAAATAATCAAATAGGGAAGAGCCCAGTGGAAAGGTGACGGTGAGCAGAGCCCCAGGGGATGTGAGGTGGTGGCACAGAGGGTTTGGGGGTGGAAAGGAGAACGCTGGCGGTCAGGAATAGGAAGTGCAGAGACTCGGAGAAGTGAAGAGACAGACTTGGTGTGAATGAGGGGTTGGGGGAGTACGGCATGGCTGGTGTGTGGAGGAAGTGCAGGAGAGGACCATTGAGGCCAGAAGGGGTCACTGGCAGAAGGACAAGCAAGCCGACCGGGACCCTAGAGCTCTGAGGCCCCTGCGAGGATGTAAACCGTTGCTTTGAGCAGCGGTGGTCCATCGGAGAGTTTTGAGCAAAGCATGAATTGATATTTGAGGAAAGGATCAAGCTTGCTGCAGCGGGAATAGATCCTTGCGGGTGGGGCGGGGGGGACAAGGGTGGAAGCTGGGAGACCAGCCAGCATTCTATTTTTGGCAAGATGACCGAGTGGGAGAGGCAGACTTCGGTGCTAGGCCCATCTGTGCTTAAATT